TACCGTGGCCAGCAGTATAAGTATCGTGGTCATGTCATTAACTTCTTACGGGATATTGGCCACGTCTATACGCAGCTTCCTCTTCTGCCGCGCGAATTGGACATCATCATACTACGCCCACGGGATTCAACGAACCAGCCACACGTCGTCCGGCAGTTTCGACGTCAATTCCGTGTTCGGCAAGGTCACATTCGCGTCTGGCTGGAGCACCTTCAACTTAACCACCCTGGCTATCGAGATATCATTATTGACGCTGAACGCCTAAGTCAGCTACCAAACGACGGTGATGTGGTTGATCAAATGCTTGCCGAGGAAGTCGCTGTGCCTGAGGGCGTGCAAGCAGAGCAACATCCTATAGAGCACCCTGACCCTGAGGCTGTTGAGAATGCTGATGCAGCTGGCATCGACGACTACGATGCAGCAGCAGTCCCAAACTTCATTGCAGCGCAGGCTGACCTTGAGCGTCTCCGGGCTCAGCTTGAGGATCACGAACCCGTACCGCCCGAGCAGATCCCTCTGCGCCAGGCCCACATCGAGATGCCTAATATCCGATCTACGCCTCTCAATGAGTTCAATCGTTCCCAGCCTCTGCTGTCTCTCGCCTTTCCTACCCTTTACCCTACTGGGCAGGCAGACTTTGTGGCACCTCGTCAGAGGACAATTCGGTACGATGAGTATATCGCACACGCCGTGAGATACCATGATGGTCGTTTTGCTAGGCATCCACGCTTTCGATATGTTGCTTTTAACACACTTATGCGGCAACAGGTTAACTCTCACAGTTCCTTCTTTGTGAAGAGGCCTGGCCTGCAGCAGCGAGTTGACATGGATGAATTACGCAATGCCTTTGAGGAAGATACCCGGAATCTCGCGCACTCCTGAGCTCTATTGTGCGCTTCTCAAGCAGCTTAAAAGGCACACGAGCTTACTGGGGCGGCCAGAGACATCAGCTTGAGGCCCTCGTCCACGGCCTTACCTGTCCTGGTGTCTTCCTCACCTTCTCAGCTGCTGATCTTCACTGGGATAGCCTCCAGAGACACATGCCGTCATATGTTGAATGGCGTGAGGCTGATAGCCGTGGTAAGGGTGCTATTGCGTTCCGGAATCTCCTTGAAAACCCTCATATCGCAGCATATCACTTTCACAGCCGTTTTACTAGCTTCCTTAAGATAGTATCGATGCCAAAGTTCAACATTACCGACTATTGGTTTCGCTACGAATGGCAGGCCCGTGGCAGCACGCATGTGCACGGCCTTTATTGGGTTAGGGATACACCAAAGCCTGATATGTCTCTCGAAGGCAAAGCTGAGTTTGCCCGGTTCTGGGCCCTTATGTCTCTGCCATTAACCCAGAGCCGCTTCGTGTGATGCAGCAAGGCGACGCAAATCCATTGGTACTAGTCCGACCGCCGCCTACTTTCCAGTTCCTCGCTGAGGTTGTTAATCGCGTACAACGCCATCGTTGTTCTGAGCTCTATTGCTTGCGACACCGCCGACTGCCTGACAACTCTCTGTCAAGGGAAAAGCTATGTCGATTCCACTTCCCTCGCGCCTCGCACCTCCTTTCATGCAGTTGTTAACTATCTCGGCAAGTACTGCTCTAAAGCTGAGAAGCAGACGGAGAGCTACCGCGACGTCGCCAGGGCCATCTTGCCTAGAGTCAATGCACGACAGGGTCTCGTCAGCTTCGTCGCCAAGTTCATGAACAAGCTTACGGCTGAGCGTGACTGGTCTGCTATGGAGATTAACCACCTGCTGCTCAGCCTACCACTCCAGCAAAGCACGAGGACTGTACGATCGGTTGACTGCCGCCCTCCTCAAGAGCAATGGCAGGCAGCTATTGTAGATGAAGCTGCTGATGGTATTCGGGCCTCAAGGAATATATATCAGAAATACCTCGCTCGCAACGATCAATGGGCGCAGTTGACCTACTTTGAGCTTCTCACCAAAGTTGACTTTACACGCCCGGCAGCCTGGCACTACTACAGCCGAGCCCCTGACCGTGTGTTGAGCTATTTCCTCGGTACAAGGCCCTCCGCGGTAACGAGCAGTACGAGGACTTTTGTCGTGTCAAGTTGACCCTCCACCATCCTCATCGCGACCCTCAGGAACTCAAAGAGGTAGATGGCGCCCTTTCGACACCTTCTCTGGGGCATACGACCATTGCTCTGCTGTCCACGACGTTCATCCAGACGACTACTACGGGGACCTCCTCCTCCAGTCGAAGAGGAATTCCAGGAAGAACCGCGTAACGAGGAAGATGTTGCGGCTGAGGGTTGGGAAGAGCTTGCTGCAGTGCTTCCAAATCGTGGTCCAGATGAAGATGACATTGACTTACTGGGAATCGCGATTTTGACCTTGCTCACGATTGGCAGCCCTACATTGGCAAGTATCCGGATTTAGCCATTCTGGGGCATGACTATTGGAAGGAGCTTAAAGCTTCACACCCCCTAGGCAACAACCAAGATGATGTCCCTGATGGCCTCTTTGATCAGCTTAACGTCGAGCAGCGCACTGTGTTTGACCTATTTACTCGACATCTTGAGAAGGCTCTCGACCCTCAACAGCCAAACCCGGCACCGCTCCTTGTGCAGGTAGACGGAGAAGGTGGCACAGGTAAATCCTTTATGATCAGAGCGCTCTGTGCACGTCTTGGGCAGCTATCTCCAACCTGCTTCGCTCGGGCTGCCCCTACCGGTGTGGCTGCTAATGCAATTGGCGGCGTTACACTACACTCCTTCTACGACTCCTCTTACCAAATCTTCAACGGAGCTGCCGTTGCTAGGCCCTACAGACATTGCCAACCTACAGTCAAAGCTACGCAACCTCCGCTACCTCATTATCGACGAGAAGTCAATGATTGGCTTGCGTACTTTTGGCTACATTGATAGCCGCCTCCGACAAATATTTCCCGAATATCAAGACACCTTTTCGGCGGCCGTAGCGTTTTGTCGCTCGGCGACTTCTACCAGCTTCCACCTGTTATGGAGAAGCCGCTCTTTACTACGTCTATGCTCACGGCTTTACCTGATATCAATGGCCGCAATGCCTACCTGGCATTCGACAAGACAGTTGTGTTACGACAAGTGTTGCGTCAGCAGGGCGAAGAGCAGGCTCCTTTTCGCACTGCTCTTCAGAGCCTACGTATAAATGCTCCTACTGTCCTAGACTGGGAGCTGCTCTGCACCCGCGTCCAGGCCAATCTGACCTTAGCCGAGGTTACGTGCTTTGACGGGGCAGTACGCATCTACACAACGAATGCCCAGGTCCGCGAGTTCAATAGGATCATATGGAACGCCTAGCTGTGCCTTGCATACAGGTTCGGGCAACAAATGTCGGTCCAAAAGCCGCCGAAGCTGACTCTATGACTGCTGGCAACTTACATAACCAGTTACCCATTTGCATTGGGGCAAGAGTTATGTTGACTGAGAACGTCTGGACTGATGTTAGCCTTGTTAATGGTGCACTGGGGACCATATATGACTTTGCCTATGAGGATCACGTACAGGATCCTCAAGCTCATCATCCCTTTGTCATTATGGTCCGCTTCGATCGCTATACCGGCCCCCCTTATTTCGACGACCCTGAGCTAGCCAACGTCCAGCCTATCTTTCGCTCCTGGCGGGACTTCATCAAGGGTAGTATGCCCTGCTCTCGCACTCAGTTTCCCTTGACAATTGCATATAGCATCACTGTGCACAAGGCACAGGGTGCTACGCTTGAATGGGTTGTTGCCGATATATCCCATCGCGATTTCCAGTCTGGCCTCACCTACGTCGCCGTCTCGCGCGCCAAGACGTTGAATGGCATCATGTTTGATGCGTCCTTTGATCTCAATGATATCCGGCGTCGCACGGATGGCTCTATGGCTGCTCGGGCTGCTGACGCTGCCCGGCGTGCTGGCCAGGTTGTGACTGCCCAGGAAGCATTGAATTGACTGGTCATACATTCGCCTGCTTGCAGAAACTCTCAATGTGACAATTTGGCTCTCTTATGGGTCAGCAAAACGGGGATGGGGTTTTCTAACTGAGAGTCTGAGCCATTTGATCATATGCACAGGAGCGAACAGGAGCCTTTTGGATGACGATTAATAAGGGGAATTGCTGGCTTGCTTGCAATCCTCTCCAAGCACAGCCTTCGTAGCACATAAATTTACAGCTTTGCTTACTCCTGTGACGGCGTATTCGGCGGCAACCCAGGTATCTTTTAACTAGGCCCTCAAGATTTTGATGAATGAATTGAATAAAGACTCATGATTTTTGATTCATCGAATTTGAAGACCTTACCCGATTCGGCTTCATTCAATTCAAGGGTCCCGAGGCCGATTCGACTTCAAAATCTTCAAATATCAGCCCTATCTACGGGATAGGCGTTCGATTCGATAGATTTGTATCCCTGTAAGTGGCGATAGTAACAATCCAACGAGCGACATATTGGTAAGCGTCAAGCGACTTCTATCAACGGTAGCTTCTGTTCCTTTGCAGGGCCAAAAAGGACAAGCTCCACAACTGCCGAATATTGCTCTCGGTGCCGCCACTGACACCCGGAGGCGGCTGCAGCACCCCGAGCGGCGAAATTTTGTATCCCTTCTGGCCCTGACTCGCCGATCCTAAGTATGTCCAGCTCCATACCTCCGACTGGAGCTGACCCTTGTTATCCTCTATTACGTCCCACAGACGATTGTACGCGCTTCGCAATGCTGTATAAACGCCAACTTCCTTGCAGAAAGCCGGCATCTCCGTCCCGGACCGTGAAGTGTTGTGGGAGCTTGGGGCTGGGCAGCGATCGAGCTGCATCTCGAAGCCTTTGGCCATGAGCGCAAGATGCCAGCTCCAGACAACGGTCCCGTGATACGCGGAGTTGCTGAAGTTTGCCGCCAGCACACTGTCGCCGGAGAGTGCTGGGTTGGCCACTACCGCTCCAACGGGCGTGCTCAGACCAGCGGGGAAGGGACGTAGCACTGCGTTGGCCGAGGCGTTGATAAAGGTTGAAAGTTGCTCGTCATCTGTCGAGTTCAAGAGGAAGTGGCGAAAGGCGGTGTCTGTGGCTAATGCCAATCTTGCCTGGAGTTTCGGAGCTGTTGATTGCCAGCGCGTAGTCCACAACCACGCCGTCTGACGAGTACGTAGTGAACGATTCCGTGTGTGCCGGGCCGTCATAGAAGGTACTCTTGTTGACATATTCTTCCACCAATGACGACGCTTCATGGACCGAGACGTTGAACTGAAAGAATCGCAGGGTTTCGTCTTCCCATACCTTAGCCCTCTTTGATGCCCGAGAGTCCCAGTCTCTCGTATGCGTGTTGTTGGGATAGACACCCGGCATCGCAGCCAGCTTGGAAATGGCATACAGCGCCGCTGGCACGAGGGCGCAATTGACATCAAACGGAATGCGGGCGTTTGCAAGTCCATAGGTGGAGTCCCGCCACTGCCCGACGACCTCGCCATCTTTGAGGTGAACGAGATTGGCCACCGTCTGATTGTGCTCGAACGCTGCCGTCAAGTTCATAATCTTACGTGCCGTCGTGTAACTCAGGTCGCCCCAGCTCAAATTTCTATTCTCGATGTTTACGGACCCGGCCTTGGTGCCCAACAAGGGTCGTATTCGCGCAGGCAAGGCTTGAAAATAGCGGTTCATGAGTATGGGGAGGAGGAAATCCGTGTCAATCATGGGGTACACGAATCCCGCAGCCGTGGATGTCTTGTTCTTTTGCATATTGAGGAAAGTCGCGTAGTCGCCAATGGTCTCTTCGTGGCAGACAGAACCGTCTGTCCTGTTGACACGTTCCAGGGCAGAGCCGAGAACCGCCTCTATGGCCGACGATTTTCCCGGGCTCAGGACGGGCTGCAGAAGGAAGGCGGTGATCATGCTGTCGCGGCCAAAGTACGTGAGGAAGCGCCAGCCGCCCGCGAGCAGCTTTTCTGTGTACGACAAGAATGACAACGACGTGACTTGGCCGGGATCCCGCATGGCCAGAAACTGGGACTTATTGTTGAGAATTTGCAGGGGAGCTAGCTGCGTCAGCTGAGGGTAGTTGTAGGAAGCAGAGAAGTGGTAGAGGCCGGCATCGAAGCTGATGGACGAGTTGTGCCCGATGCGAATGGTGCCATTGACTTTGCTCCATGGTGTCAAGGTCAAGGTGGTTGTTGTGACGTTGTCGAGCCACATGCGCGAGATCCTGACGCCACTTTCGTTGAACTTGGTGACTTTGATGCCTCTTTGAATAACGGGACTGAGCATGCTAGGCCCCTCGGTGAAGTCTCGAATATTCCTTATGCTCCCCAATATAGACAGCGACAACTCCGCCGAGTCGTTAAAGGAGAAGACACCCTCCACACCGACAATGGAATTCTTGAGCGAGGGTTCCTCCCAGTACACAGGCCCCAATGGATCCCCCAACGTAGAGTTGACGAGGCCAATGGCAAGGCTCCCGTTGACGCCATTCTGTGGTCGAAAAAAGGTGCAGATGCCGCTGTTGCCTGCTGGCCAGGCTACGATGAGGCGCGGGCTGATGATGGTGAGGTTGCTATCGGGAAGCGGGCTCGTCACGACGGCCTGGGCATCGACGTGGCAGTCGGAGTAAAAGTAATTCTGGTACGGCGGGTCGGCGAGATGCTGGACCCTGCGTTCGCAGGTTGAGTTTGCGTGTTGGGCCTGAGTAGATGCAGGCCATATCGCTACCAAGCACAGCCAGAAAAGTATGTCGTGTCGCAGCATTGTCGACAGAGACGTATTGTAAGGCGCACTTGTTTTGCTGATTTCTTGTGAATTTAGCTAGGAGGCCTGAATACGCCAAGAATATAAGATCGATGATCATGCCCTTCTGTCGACAAGTTCACGCCGCCGCCGGCCGTCCCTGGTCGATCCGCACCGTAAGATCCACTAGTCGAGTGGTTCCACATCTTGCTGGGTTATCGACCCACTCTGGGCCCAAGTTCAGAAACTCAGCGTTCGACACAAGTAAATTTTTCGAGCTTTCTTACTTTACTTACTAGCCAGATTCCTTACTTACTTGCGACCCCGAATTACTTGCTTTACTTCCAAAGTGGATTATGCAATGTAGCCAATCATCTTACAGCAGGGTACTTCGTATAACGACCGGTCCATTCTGGGTTTTGTCCGGGAAATCACACCACCGCGAGCCCAATCTCTGAGGCATTGCAACTGCAATGCTTCCATAGTAACCCAGTGCAAGGCCTTCCTTCGGAGGTCCTCCGTGATGCTTTTGACATTGGCTCAAGAAAACGGAATCGTTTCGGCTACGAATAGTAGAAGAAGTCGGCCAAGAGGTTCGTCGCTCCTTCAAAAGTTCAAAACGCCAAAAATTGACAGATGTAGCGTAATTATAGTTGACTCCTTACTTGGATCTTACTTGCCCCTGGAGGCTTTACTTACTTACTTGGGCGTAGGGCCTACTTGCTTACCTTACTTATTACTTACTTACTTGGTTATTTACTTGTAATTAATTACTTTACTTATGTCGAACGCTGCAGAAACTTGCTTCGAGTACGGATCACGGTAAGTTACATGTATTTATGTCTTGCCCGAATAGACACTCGATTACCCTTGAACAGTGTGATTTGGGAAATGGCTAATATTCTGGATCATGACGGTGCTGAGCTGAGTAGTGGGCTTGGGGTCATCGCAAGGAAGCTCCCGGCTGTATGTGGGAAGGTGAAAACTGGCCTGCAGCCCAGTGGAATCCACTAAGTTAGGTACTTTGAAGAACGATCCCGCTTGGAAAATGAAGGTACTTTCACAGTAAGCACCCATGTTGGCAGGTCTCAGAATCACTGAATTCGCCTTGCAATTGCAATGGGTAAATCCGTGGTGTGAAAAGTCTGTGTGTCTCTGCACCCCAGGGGTGCTCTGCCCAAGCCCTATATCAAAGGGCGATGGCCTCAATCTCTATGACATGCCATAACGTCATATTTCCGTAGCTGTCTCATAGATGTCCTCGTGGCCTCATTAGCTGCGCTACCTTGTGCGCTATCGTCTGCGCTACCGTTGGCGCTGCCACTAGTAGCCTGATGCTATCGTAGCTGCATCTACCCGGATTCTACCGGATCTAACACATGGCGCGATGGTCTTCGCGACAGTTCCACATTCCCACAACCCACCTATTATTTTAAGTTACAGTGGGCCCTTTGCATGAATAACTAAACCAGGTAGGCAGCATGTGACCCGCGCATGATAAAGTTCGGACCGATTATCGCGGCATGTGCACGAAGGTTCGGAGGTGACGATCAGGCTGGCAGGGACCGCAGTGTTGAAGGTCTAGAAGAAGCTACAAACACCGGTTGGAGCGCGAGACTAGGGGTCTTAGTCTCGGCGCGGTGGGGCAATATCTTGCTTTGCTTTTCATTCCGTAGGACAGCCAATTGTAAGAGGTTGGCCCGGAGTTTATTCAACAAGCAGGTGCCTAAGTAATGTCTATCTAGAGCTAAGGAAGAAAGGAAGGAGAACTCGAGGCGAAGCCTCGAGTTTGAACTCAAATCGCATACAGAATGTTTTCGCAGCGAGTCGCAGCGAACGCAGAGCGAGGCCGGTGCGGGGCATGACCCTCCGGATCCGGTACAACCAGGTCCACTATGCCGGACACAGCCCATGATCAGCTGAATATCTGAGTTTAAATTCCGCAAGAAAGCTGAATATCCTGATCAGTCGAATTAACTTGGGGGGCCTCAAAATCGGGCATAAACCCCTCCTAGGCTTCACATAGGAGGGGGGGCACACTGAGAAAGAAAAGGCACCTTGACCTGTCGCGAAGACAGTCAGCAAAAGTGATTGGAAAAGCAGAGGCAAGAGGGTCTGTTGTATTTTTTTCAGGCCAACCCAAAGTCTTTTCTACTCCGTTCAAAGCCCCCTTATGTTAATATCTGGCGGATATCGCAGGGGCTTTTTAGTGCGTGATCGGCGGATGACCCCGCAGATGACAGCCCAGCCCGTAATATCCCGGATTTCCTGGTGATATCGGCAACGCGACGCAGGCGCCCGACGGCTGCGCATCGCGGCACACTAAAAATTGTACCTACGTGAAGCCCTGCGTCTGACGATTCATTTGACCTAACTTGCGTATCCGTAGTTTGCGTGGTTGTGATATTGTGTCCGGAAACGTGAAATGGGTCGGATTTTCGGGCGGTCTCCAGCGTATCGTTCAGCGCACTGCCGCCACATCTCCACTAAACTCCACTAAAATAGTCGACTATTTGTTGGAATGCTAACCTGCTGAGTAACCCGTGCATCGGTAGCAATACCATCACGGTTCATGCACGACTCCCACGTGACACCCTACCCCGCGATCAGGGCACGCAGCCCCGGCTGCATGCCGCCATTACCGGGTGCACATTCCGTTTCTTGTGAATAGCTTCCTCTTCCCTAGTTAGTTACAATTGAAGTCATCACCGGTTACCCTACCTGTCGTGACTGTGACTCAGCCTACAGCTTGTGTGCATGCGTATCTGTAGGCACATAGGTGCCTACCATCACTGATCAGTGGTTCCAGGTCCCGAAGGAGCCACAGAGCAGCAAGGTAGACGAAGAGTCACCGATCTGATCCGCCTGCAATTCACCGTGCCGTTCGGAGAAAGTGATACTTTTCCTCTACGGGTAGAAGAGACAAACTCCGTGATTCGTTCCGCCGAGCAACTCACCGACCGTTCGAAGACGACAAGTTTGTGCTAAGAGCAGGAGACACTCCTTATTCCGATCCGCCTTCAACTCACTGTGCCGTTCGGAAGAAAGAAGCAGAACCTACGGCTAACCTATTGCTATTCCTAACTGCCGTTCCGCCGAGCAACTCACCGACCGTTCGAAGGAAAGGAAAAGACATAGCTTAGCTGCGTCAGCAACGCATCCCGACTCCCTCGCGATTGTGCTTTAATTAGTACAATTGATCACTACAATTCACCTCCGACACTATGTCTGCAGGACCTAGCAGCAGTGCCCCGGGAGGCAGTAGTAATACCCCCGTCCCTACTATCTATATTGCTCGCGATCCCCCAAGCCAGGAGAGAGTGCAAGGATGGCTGGACAAATATACTGGCATACCGATCGACATGTCAGACATTGACCTATCCTCTGGCATACCCTGTGAACCCAGATGAAGAGCCAACGCCACGCCACCTGATCACACAACTCGCCCGTGCGTGGACCGACTATGAGAGAGCCAATGTAGGAAGAATCGACACTCTTATTATGTTCCAAGAGCACTTCGAAGGATGGAATAGTGCACTCTTCGGAAGGATTGAGCCAACGATTCGAGCTGCATTCGTCAACTATCTTCGTACGAAGGAAGTGATCACTGGCCCTTGAGAAGATGCCGACATGACTATCTTCTCGCTTCCTCGTCACCGAAGAATATTGGGAAACCCAGGATACCCCGGTCACCTCCATCGACGAAGGAGCACAACCCGTGCCCGCAGCGATCCCTTGCCCCTCTCACCACCTATTCAACCGCCTGTACAACCTGTCCAGCAGGCCACTCAATCCGTCACCCCAACCGCTTTTACAAACGCTCCGACGAGCTACACCTTCCTCACCGCACAAGGATAGCTCCCAGGTAACACCAGCTCCCTATTACCTACCCCAATTCAGTGGCGATTCCCAAGAGCCAAGTCAGATCCGCCACAATACACCCCATACCGCACATTGCCACCACGAGACGTGCCGAACACCCTGACCAATGCCCAGACTCTCGCCCTCTTCGTCAAGATTTGGAATAAGGAAGATACCTACTCAGGTCAACCTTACGATCTCCTTGACGATAAGATCAGGAACTTCCTAACCACCTGCCGTTCGGTTGAAGTCCCCGAGAGTCAGCTACACGCCTTTCTCCCCCGCGCCCTTACAGGTCGAGCAAAGACCTACTATGACCTTTATCTTGACCCAGACCTCACGTTCGCCGCCGCTTACCGACAACTTAAGCAACATTTCGATACCAACGTGAATCTGGAGCATTACCATACGGACTGGTCAACTATCACCTTCAACAGTGTCCGTAGCAAGCACAGTGACAAGGACCTCCACGCTGTGCTTGATATAATGCTTGACAAGCTCCAATTGTGTCAACGAGCGATTGGGCCGGAAATAGCTGGCGAAAGCAACCTCCGCAACGCAGTCATCCGCGCTTGCCGTGGAACGCCTGAGCTCAAGCAAGCCTTGTACAAAGCCCCCGCCCATTGCGAACAACTCTTTGCCGACCTCCGCGCCTCTATTGAACTTGCGATCACGGACAACGGTAGCACCCAATGGTATACCGACCGCAAGTATCAACAGAATAGACCCCCCTTCCGCAACAATAACAGCGCGAACCCCAAACGACAGCCGCAGAGAAAGAAGGTGTGCTTCATCTGCGGCAAAGCTGGCTGTTGGTCTACCAAGCATACCATAGAAGAACGGAAACAATCACGGATGTACCCGTTGATCTTGGTGTGGGGCCACAGCAGCCCAACTAAGTGTCTTCGCCACTTAGTTGGCCCAAAAAATCCGGCACAGCAGGGTCCTCAATTTGGGGTGCAAAATCAAGGGAAATTCTACGCTTCGCTTCATGGTGCCGTCAATGCGACTTCAAATAGCTAAAATATACATGTGATCAATAGCTGCGGATCACCTAAAGACGCAAGTAACAACGAAAAGTGAAAAAAATCACGTCTTTGGGCCTATTTAGGAGCTGCCGCCTTCCAGTCGAAGAGATAGGAAGACCGCGTTTGTGAGTCCAAATAGACGTATTATGTAGTAATTTCGCCTGTTGTGCGTCTCTGAGAGCTATTTTATCCATACCTGTGTTCCTGGAGCGTCTGCTGTATCTTGTTGGACGATCGGGTGCGCGGTCGAGGGCATGGTGTATCGACTACCGCTTCAACCGCTGCTAACGGCGGCGATGAGGGTATATTCTCTTGCGTGTCGGGTAAATTGTCCTCGTCTTCATCGTCGGCGCCATCCTCACTATGTTTGTCAAGATCGAGGCCTGTGAAATAGACGGTATCGTCACTGCCGGGCAACGACGACATATCTGTAAGTGGGCGAGGTCGGGTCGCTGCGCGCGCCCTGACATCTCTGGCGGAGTTATTTCTTCGTGGTATCATAGAAAAAGGATTCCTTGGATGGCTCTTTGAGCTCCCGCATGAGGGTATCGCAACTTTGCTCCAGAGTGTAGAACTCAACGTCTCGTCCCGTAAACTCTAGCCAGGGCTTAAAGTTCAATGTCTTGACTCTGCCATTGACTAACTGCTTCTTCCCGACTTTATAGTCTTCTCGGATCTTCTGCATCTCTCCACGAACTCGTTTAAGATGCATCCTTATCTCCTGGCGCGTTTGAAGCCGGGTTTGCTTTGCCTGGAGCTCCTCATACTCCCGGGTGATGTCGGCCATGCTGGAGCTCGTGATAAACTCTCCGCGCGGCCTGACAATCTTGCCTCTCTTCATTCGATTCGCATACGCCTGGGTTCGGCTATTCTTATCGCTGACTATGCCCTGGGAATGTGACGCCATCGCGATAGACTCGGTGTTCACTTTCGCAAGAACCCGCAAGTTTTCTCGTGATGGCGAGCTCATGAGGGGCCCATACCGTTGCCGGATATCATTGAGGGCATCCGCGGCGACTTGGAAACGCGTCTCCGAGGGTAGGAGCGAGGCGTATGCAGGATTGATCGGCTGCTGTTGTCGTAGCTGCTCGTGGAGGATCTTGGTGATCACCGGCGCTGGGTCGACAGGAAAGAGGCCTGTTTTTTCAAATGCCGCCATAATGTTATGCCGCGTGAAGCCAGCCTCATATACGTCCTGAAAAGCTGTGAGGAAGTTGACCCGCGAAAATGATATGTTGCCTTCTGCGAGCGACTTCCGAAGCGCTTTCTGATGTGCTGACTTTAGTGGCTGGAATACCCCAACATCAAGCGGCTGCATGAGGTGGGTGGAATGTGGAGGGAAAATAGCAATGATGATATCAAACTTGATACAATACTCAGCAAAGTCAAGGGTGGTATGCCCTGTAAAGCCATCCACAACAAGCAATCGGTAGATCTTCTCGTCGTCAGGCCGTTGGTTTGGCGGCGCCTCCACGCGACTCATCCCCATGTTGGGGCGCCGAAGATGCTCGTCACAGCCGAACCACTCTTCCAGCGAATTTCCTGACTGTTTTGCTTGCGCTGACGATGCCCAAGACCAGCAGTTGAAATGCCTTGCCCACTCAAGGTGTATCTCTGCGTTGGAAAAGCCAGTTGGCGACTGGGCAAACCGTACGCCTGTCATGATGTCGATGCCGGCCCAGTTGGTGGTAGGGTAATGTTGGAAAACAAGCCAGGGTGGAAGAGAGTCCCCCACTGCGTTAACTGAGGCAATTACCGTGCAGGATTCTCGGTTTGCTGGGTCTAAAACTCGGGGCCGGGTGCTCTTGACTCTAGTGGTGCGCGTGATGAGAACTTGATGCGTTCTCGCAGGCACCCAATGCGTATTCCGGCCTCGTCTTCATTCCAGATCTCTGAACTGCCAATACGGTAGCTGGTGATGATTTCTCGAAGCTTTGAGTAGAAAAATTCGACTTCTTCTACCCCGTGGGCTTCAAAGGACTTCCGCTCGTTCAACTGCTTTGAGATACGTCTTCGCGATCGCAGGATGACTTCCACGCCAATTGTCAAGCCAACTTGACGAGACCGGGCGGGCATTGGGATCTCGACGCATTCTTATTGCATTTGCAACAGCTTCAAGTTGCTCTCTCGTGGCGGGCATGCCGGTGCGTTCCATCCACTGTACATACGCAACCAGGGCGTCGTCTTCGTCCTCCGTCAGCGCCAATGGACGCCCTGGAGCACGGGAAAAGGGGTTTTATGAAATTAATGGCTCTCTGTACGGATGAGCTCTTCACATTGTAACGGATGGCCGCATCTCGCACGGAAAGAGGCGTTCTTTTGGTGTTGTTGAGCGACGAACATCGGCTCTGGGGTCGCGACGAGACGCCAGAACGGCTTTTGCTGCCTCCAGGGTAGCCATGTTATCTGTCATAATGTATTCCGGCAAAAAGATACGTAAATAAAGTCAAGTTGCGCGAGAAAACGCGGTTGAGATGCATAGGGTTGACGTTTTGGAGGTGGGCTGCTGTGCCGGATTTTTTGGGCCAACTAAGTGGCGAAGACACTTAGTTGGGCTGCTGTGGCCCCACACCAAGATCAACGGGTATTTCCTTAATGCCCACAATGCCTCCGACACGACCCCGGACTTCGCCATGTTCCTCGCCGAATTCGAAGGTCATGAACTTGACGAGACCCCTGTCCCTGACTATGATACTGCTGATGAAATTGACGATGAAGACCCAGCGATTGGCTCGCTGTTCTTCACGCAATCATTCCTCGCAGATTACGCTGTTCTACACCGTCTGACTAAGGAAGATGCCTATAGCGCTCCTCAAAGGCCCCGGCACAACAATTCCTTGTCGATGACCGTTACACAACGCGTTATCAGGGCATCATGCTCGACACAGGTGCTTCCGACGTGTCAACCGCTGGCCTAGACCAATTCCATGCCTGGCAGCGCGAAGACCACTGCGCTACCCTCGATACCACCCGCGCAGGCCAGACAGGCATCTCCTTTGGAGATGGACCCCGGATTGTGTCTGTCGGTGCGACCGCGATTCGCACGGCATTCGGGCCCGTTGATTTCCACGTTCTTCCCACTAAGACCCCGTTCCTCCTCTCCCTAGCCGATATGGCCCGGCTAGGCTTGTTTTTCAACAATCAGACCAACGAAGTCGTCCGCGATGACATTCGCGTTCCCGCAGTACGTAAATGGGGCCACGCATGGTTCCATCTAGGTAAAGAAGAGACTGCGAGAGTATTCCTGACCGAACGCGAATTGCGACGACTTCACCGACGATTCGGTCACCCGGCCACAGCTAGACTCCACCGACTGCTTAGGTGTGCCGGGCATGATGATATTGATGAGCAGTCAATCCGTGAGATCACGAGGATGTGCCACCACTGTCAAATCAACGGCACCTCCCCCCAACGCTTCAGGTTTACCCTTAGAGACGACCGCGAGTTCAATTTCGAGATAACCGCGGATGTAGTCCAAATAGGCGGAAAGCCTGTGCTACACGTGATCGACGAAGCCACAGCGTTCCAAGGCGCCAGGTTCCTCCCCTCGATGACCGCCCGAGACACCTGGGAAACGCTACTGGAGATCTTAACATTAGACCTCAACTACCGTGGCTTCAAGGTCATGCGTCATTTTCACTGAGTCTAACCAGACAGAGAAATATGGTTTTGGATGCTATACGCCAAGCTAGACCTACGAGGGAGCACGAGCCGACAACTCCACAGGCTAAAAAATCTCGAAGCTAGTAGCCTCGAGAAGACTTTGAGAAAGATATCTAGAGTGTTTGAGCGCAAGGAGCAGAGTTGGTGTTGAAGGATCAGAGATTTCAGGCCTCGGCGGCTACGCTGCATCGCGTGAGGCCAAGGAAGGAAAGAATGATCCCCAATCCTAATAATATGTTCATAAACCTCTGATATATATTAGGGAATGTCTATATGCTTCCACAGGGCGATGAAGAGGTGCTATATGATTGAAGGTGCATTTAGTCAGGTTGAAGAGGAGAAGGGGAAGTGAGGGTAGAGCCACCTGATTCGTCGCCTTCTTACACATTGGCGGAGACAGACCAGAAACCCAACAGTACACGGCAATTAAACATTGAAAGCACTACAGAGTAGTATTTCTTTTATAATTTATTATGGGCTAATGGCTTCAATTCAATTGATATAGTTTGTATGGTCCAGGCACCTTTTTGCGGTACCGGTGAGGGGGTGTAACAGGCGATGGGTGGGGCATGGTAGGCCCGGTCGCCCTCGCTAAGCAGGCGCCGAGGGTTGGTCCGAGTACTCTTCGGCTACACGAAGAATATATATCGACCACGAATCTGTCATTGGGAAGATGCCACGTGATCACGGCGTAACAGTCACATCCACAGTCGACGAGAGTGCGTATTCTGTAGCCTCTGTTTACGGGTCGACTGTTCATTGGTGGCTTGAACGCTTCCTAGTCGACCATGCCGGTCACAGCCCGTGACAGATGGCCAGCTTAGGATGGTAGCTCAATACTACAAAGGAACCCCAAATGAGCGGCAACACTCTGGGCACAGGGAGCATGACGTATCAGCAGATTGAACAACTGGACGCACGTATACAGGCACGCCGCCATGAACAGTAACGCTGCATGGCTGCCTAACCAACAACCGCCTGTCAAGAAGAGATAGTCCCTTGCGTGGTCCAAATCGACAATGATGCGGCTGGCCACGGCCTGCCCCCATAACCTCGTCCGCCAAAGTCAGTTTACTTTCCCGAATAAGATCCAGGAGATTTGGGTGTATCAGAAGACTTGGACGATAGCATGAAGCCTCGCCCGTACCTTGCCCCAAATTGGGACCTGGCCTCTGTTTTGGCACCGACATCAGGTCCAGGATACGCATTGTCTTGCGATTGAGATTCCTCCTCCTTGGGCCTTTGGATATTAAGTGTGATCATGTCCCGTGATATCTGCCGGACAGTTTCATCACTAACGTGACCCCCTACTTGCCTGCTCCTCCATCCAAGTCCCTTGTTTTGTCCGTGAATCGTCTTTCCGTCAGTCGAAACCATGAACTGCATGGCGTCGCCTGTAGCGTAGTTGTCAATAACGCTAATGTTTTCCTTTAAGCGCTCGTTTGCTTCAGAACAAATGCTCAAGCTTTGGCGCGCGTTTTCCATTCTTCCCGCAGCCTCGCAATCTCGGAAGTATCCCCAGAAGCAGGCACTTTCATTATTTTCCCATCAAGCGATCGAACAAATCCTTCTCGTGTTGTTCCAGTTTCACGACTGTGTTGTCAAGGGTCTTCCTGCACCCATTCAGACCCTCATTGACGAGCATTTCTGGAACGTAGCTGGCTCTTCATTTTCGGACGAGCTTCCACTGCGTTTGGTGGCCAGCTGAAATTCATCGATATGCTTCGACAGTTGGTCACAAATTTCAAGGCATCGCTGCGTGCTCAATCGCTCTTCCTGCATGGTTTGCAATTCTGGCGCGCCTGAGCCGGTCTCCGATATGGCGTCTGCGAGAAAACACCTATTTTCTCGTCGATACTTTCGAGGTGAGCCCGGAGGTCACTGTGCGCTGTCTCGACAAGGTCTTTGTAGCTTCAAATGGTCTCGGCGGTGGCAGAGCATACGCGGCTACATTCACAGCATAAACATTAGAGTTGTTACTGAATGGTTTATTTTATGGAGGGTGGTGGCTTGCAGACCGTGAAACGTACAGATTGGCGTCAGTGAGGGCAATAGTGATTGTCGACTTGTAGCCGGATAACAACCGCCTAAATCCGTCGATATCATCACCCATGTACTTGAGTTTAGCCCACCCCCCGAAAGGTCGTCCGAGTCCCCCCCCGGACTGCGACACGCATTTCATGAGTTCCTGATTGAACTCTGCACAGGCATGGCCGCATCGCAGCAACGGTCGATCGAGCGCTGAGAGGTCGACAGTATGGACGGCACTGACCGTCTCCGTAAGTGGGCCTAAGACTCCGCTCAAAGCTTCAAGCTCGTCAATGAGATCGCGCACACGTTTGGGACGGTCTCGAAAACTCTGGACAGTGCTGTAAAGCGTAATGCTGGATTGGAGGGCGAACGTAGCCAGGGCCAATAGCCCGGAAGCCAGTCCTACCGGCTCGGCCATCGCGGTGGACGGCCTCAGGCATGAAGAGCGTGTAGGAAGATCGCAGGAAGGTGTAACAAATAGTTGTGGGGTGATCGCTCGTTTTATGATCTGCGAGGCGGTGCCTAGAGCTTCTTTGCCATACTTGATTGGTTCATCTCAGCCGAATGCCCCACGTGACCTGGCAGGTGACCTACTCCGCCCTTCCTGCTGCGCCGTTCCAACAAACATGCTATATTACCGAAATTCTGCCTTACGACAATAAGCGGGAACGCCAGTGCGCCAATCAGTGGAGTTCGTGCGCCAGGGGGGTACCATGATTTGCCGCTTCTTAACTGGCTCAGCACAGAGCAAGGTGAATACGTGCAAAAAACAATTCTTTGACTTTCCGGCCAAATTTTCGAAACGGCCACTGAAACTGAAACACCCATACCATGAAAATCGCCTCGACCGCCGTCCCCTGCCCACGGAAGTGCAGCCGCGCGCACGTTGCTGCGGGTGCGCTACGTGGCTGCAAAGATGGCGAGAACAGGCGGAAAATTCGCTCTGCTTGCGCTGGAGCCCCCCAACGGGAACCTTGGTCGGCGGGTTGACCGGGGTAATTAGCGCCATGCGCCAACCTGACGTGACTTAATTCAGGGCTGCAAATATAATCGTAGGCTTTAACCGTGCCGTACCTTCCTCTCTCCACATTCTGCTCCACTTTCTTTCGTCCCATGCAGAAACCTGATTCCCCCCCCCCTATAAGTGCAAAATATGGTCAAGGACGAGGAAGGCGGCGGCAACAAAGAGTGCACCCCGTGCCGCTTTGGTTATTCATGACTCGTGATTGGTGAGCACTATCGTTGCGTTGTTGGTCTGCTGTGCTGCTAATGCATCATCGCAGTTCGTTGTTGGGCTCCACTTTAACCTACTGGGATGCACCAGCGTACCACAGAGCGTGGACCAGACGGAAGGAACGTCATCTGGACTATGGAGGCTTAGTGCGATCGATAAGAGCTAGCGTAGGATTTTGAGAGTGACAGGTCAGTCTGCAGGTCCAGGCAGCATCCAAAACACATTGTCTGTAGATTAGTTGGTTCCCATCGACTGGAGTAACCCTACATACATTCGATGTGTAACACGTGAATGCGGCTCGCTGTGCGACTGCGGCAAAGTCGCCTCCTTCCTCGCTCCACCTCTTATTGCGAAGCGGCAGTTGGGGCAGTATTACTCGTCTTCGCTTATCGATATGGAAGCCAAATAGCTCACAACTGTCGCCCGGTTCTAGTTCAAAATACGACATGCTCCCATGTAGACGCAGTCTTCGCCGAAAAGGGAACCATGCACCTCGTGTATGACTCCGTTACAGTACTAGTTGCAAGGCTGCAACAAACCAAGAACCAACAACCGGCCTCTAAGGCCAACCGGAGGTGTCCCGCCCCTGTAGGGCATTCACTGCCCACCCTTCAGCACGAGCGTGCATCATGAAAAGGATGTGGGGCCTGGCTGCAGTGCAATGTCTTGCAGAACAAATGCTATTGGAAGTGGAAGCACAATGTGGCTGCAGCGTGGCAGCTCGCACGCAGAGCGATGACATCAAGTGGATTACGAGCCCAATAAGCCACAGCGACGAGGTGAAAATGTTACCGCCGACGACGCACGAGACAGGCTGGCCGATCCGGAGCATGCTCTGGATGCGATGTGACCTTCAGGCGGAGCAGGTGGCAACGCATTCAGCGGATTTGACGGCGCCACTCCTGCGGCTGCCGGATCGAGACCTGATGGTAGTATCGGTGTACGCAGAGGGGAAGAGTGGGGGAGGCAATGTAGATATGATCGTATCGAGGTACTATGAAGTACAACAGGAGAGAGGAGGAGGAAGGAAGGGAAGCTGGGCGACGCGGGGTCTCGGAGTCGTTGGTGATAAAGTGACCGGGAGCCAGAATCTACATTGCCAGACAGCGTCCGCTTCGAGATGCATTTCAGCAGCTCTACTTTTGGGTACATGTATATAGTCACCCATAGTTCCGTGTTGCTCCTAATACTGTAGTTGGTTCTCAATGCGAGGTGGTGACCGCAAGGTGGATGTGCGTTGCTGCAAGTGGGTGCTTCTGACTGTCCCGGGTGGTGTGAGTCATCTTGGACGGCACTGCAGCTGCAGATCGTAGCCCCGTCACATCCTCTCCCTGTGCATTAGCGGATGTTTGCCTGCATCAAACTGCAGCCACCATTGTGATGGATGCCAGTCTTTCTGCATGAACCCCGGTATGTACATACAGTACAGTACGAGCCTTTTAACGTGTCAAATTACCAGCTGTCGCACAAGAGAAGTTCGGGGGAGAAGGATGGGCACAAAAAACGCGGGGTGTCGCTCCTAGGCCCTTTCGCCCATTATGGGTGCCTGGGTTCCCGTTACGTACCTGCGGCCGATTCTGGCTTCACAACAGTGCAGCAAGTCCTCGTCTTGGGCGACTGACAGCACCTTCACTTCTCGCTGCTTGGTAGTACTGAGCTGTAAGGACTGCAACCCCTTCTTAATAAGCAATATCGTCTTCACTGCAGCCAGAAAGTGAGCTGGCGCCGAGTAGTATTGCTGCCCCCAACCAGGCAGCAGCGGAAGGGTCTAGGAGCGACACCCCGAGTTTCCTCGCTCAACCCGTTCCCCCGCAACTTGTCTCTACAACAGTTGGTAATCTGGTCATGCCAGCCCTCCACGAACGTCTTGACTTCACCATCACTCTACCGCGGGGTTGCAACGTTTCCCCGCTCACAGACCAGCGCACCGGTATGACATGGAAACACGTTCTGACGAAGATAGCGCATGGTATAATCAGCGCGTCTTTCTTCTGCCAATTCATCCGAAACTGGCCATGGACGAACCGATCCGCTTGCTTGGCAGTCGCACCTCGTCGGGATCTCTCGCCGTGTTCGCGGCCGCCCCTTGGTCTTTGGAGAACCCGCATGTGGAGTGGATCGTGATACTGTTGATCCGGACTGCGGCAATCCCTGACGTCGCCATGATCAGCGGCGATTCGAAAGGCTCCTCCTACTGAACAACTCGACGAGTGCCTCGATGATTCGCGACTTGCCGGTCCCGCCTCGCCGCCGATGAACTGGCAGAGCTGGCCGACGTCGCCTCCGTCGTTTTGTCGTATCAAATCGAGCTGGCGGCATATGATTGAGAAAACGATAGACTGCGTTTTGTTCAGCGTCAGCCGTGTCGCCAACTCTCTGCCCGCCGCTGAGAAAGAGGTTCCCGCCATTGTTGTTGCATTCGAGCCTGACGAGCGATACATAGTCGTACAGGCATAGGCCTCGCAGGCGCTCTCCACGGTGCTGATACGCCTCGACGTGGGAGATCCTGGGGCCTGCTTCTTCGACGACAACCGACTCACCCAGGGGATCATCTGTGACCCTACGCCACTTTCCTGTCGAAAGACGTGCCAGTACAACAGGTATGTGTTTAGGTACGCCCAGGCGCTGCTGTTGGTAAATTCGGCTGGAGATCCTAGAAGAGCGACGACCTCGGCCTGCAACAGGGACGCTCCGTCAACACACGGTTCGCCACCCTCGTCAAAAACTATATGGTCTGATCCGTGCTCCATGGGGTGTATGTTGCATATCACCATCTCGTCTGCCAGTTCGGCCAACGCAAGCACTAGATCAATCGTGCTTTCCGAGTCTCGGCCCTGCCACGTTTTGGTGCCTCGCGGTAGCAGGCTGCAGAGCCCACAGTCATTAATCAGGTCGATGATCGACTGCGCTTCCCCTTCTCTTCTCGCCGTTACCTCGTCGCCTCCCCAGAGTAGATCGTGGCGATTAAAGTCACCAGCGACGACGAAGTCTGCTCGCCGTCCAGTTCACCGCGGAAGCCCGCTACTAATCCATACATCTCTCTTACCGCTCTCGACAGCGCCTCCTCGCTCTTCCCCTCTACGTACACCGACGATACCATTAGATATCAGTCTGGTAGCCGAAGGATTGCCGCTGTCAAATCCGCTGACTGCGTTGCCGCTTGCTCCGCCTCGAGGTCACTCCGACCCAGAGCATGGTCCTGATCGGTATCATTCTCACCAGCTGCTGTGGCTTATTGGGCTCGTAATTATCCTGTTGTTTTATCCTCCTCGCTTACGGTTCAGAGATGGCCAATGCACGGTAGCCCTTGAGATCTTCGTCGTTCATCAGGCTCAGCTGCACCGCGTGTTGCTTTCTAATGTTAAGCCGCAGCAGGCGAAAGCTCGTGCACTGTTACGTGATGACCGTTTCGGCAATTCGGGCTGAATGAGGAAGGCAAATCATCCAGGCTTTTTGAGATCTAGTGGCAAATGTCGTCTAAATCTGACCCACGAGAAGGCAATTATCGGCCAGATTTGAGATGTCTGCCTAGAAAACCGGCAGGAGACTAGGTAATACCGCGCCGTGCACCCTGCTGCTCAAAAGCGATCGCATCCTCCACAGCTTTCCCCGCCAAAAATTTGTACTCTTCATCTAGTCTCTCCGTCGCGGCAATAACTGCATTCTCCTTGTTTTGTAGCTCCGTTCTCTGGGCTGCTATTTCCCGAAGAGCTTCTTTTGACCTTGACCGCAAAACGTGCTTGTTACGCTCCAGTTCATTCATAGTCGCTTGCGTCTTCTGTCGGAGCATAGCAATCTCCATACTGCGCCCGAAATCTCTTAAGAGCGTTGCCAATGCCTCAGCATCCAGCAAGAACTTTTCCATGCCCTTCGTGTTAACTTGACGCCGATGAACAGCGCTATGCCGAATGTTGGCAACAGAGCGGAAGAGGCTGTCCAACTGCTTTCCATTGCTCTCCATATCCGAGAAGCCTTTCTGGCGCTTTGAAAGTTCACCAATCCAGCGATTTAGCTCAACTAACTCCGCGCAATCCCATCCACGTTAGTGAAGAGTATCAGGCATCACTCGTTTTCCAAACTCGAAGCAAGTCTCTTCCAAAACATGTTGCAAGTGCACCAAAAGCTGGTGCTGAGTCTTGAAGGGAGATAGGTCGGCGTCGCAGTCTCGTAGGGTCGATGAGTGACGTCTCCATGGGCAGGCGGCAGCGGGACCAAGCCTGCACCGGTTTGCAAGATCATATAATCGTGTTTCAGGGTACGTTCCGTATGGGAAATATCTGACGCAGAATACCGCGCCCGGAGCTCGGTCGGCTCGACCGCCAATTTGAGCTGTGTGACCTGCGTCTCGACGGAAACATCATGCGAATCCCCATTCACCTCCCGAAGGTTATTGCCATTTTCAACCAACCTTGATACATCTCTGGTGAGGGCGTATGGGGCTCGGGCAAATAGGTCCAACGTCCTAGGCGTGCTGCTGTTGGTATGGTTCGTTTGTGTGGAATCGTCGTTTTCGCACCCTTCGTCATTGAGCGGCGGTCGTGCACCTTGGTTCCTGCCTCGTACAGGAGTCGTTTCGAGTGCGGCCACTTGCTCCTCTGTCGTGCACAGTTCCATTGTCGATGCTTCTGACTGATAGTTGTTGCCGTGCTTGCTCGACGACTCAACCGACTGTACGTACCGAATATGTCAGTTTTCATCATGTGAGACCTTCAACTTGGCAGCATACCTACAGAAAGCTGTAAGGTGTGACAGTCAAGAGCTTGTCGCCAGTGAAGCGCATCCGGAATTCGATCATCGCCCGACCCCATCCAATGGTGGACAGTTGCTCGCATAGCAACACTGACAACGTTAATGACATCCACTAGGGCATCTGTAAGTCCTAGTAATCACAGAGAATACCCATGTTAGGACAGTCTCAACTCACTGTGGTTCGAAGCTATCAACTCATTGTGGCTGTAATGAGGCGACAACTCTGATACCAGCTTCTCGTGATCGACAATATTCGCAGGAAGTTCATCCGGGGAGTACATCCAGCAGACGCGCGCATAGACGTGAGACTCGTCCGATGCCCTGATCTCGAGGATCTTGGCCACCCAACAGTCGGCGAGGCCCAGCACGCGTTGATGTTGAGGATCCTCGCTAGCAGCCTCTTGTCGTTCAACACTTTTGTCATTGGCAATGTACACGAAATCGTCGCTGTGGTACTTGACATTGTCTACTGTTGGGAAGACTTCAATACCGAACTTTTTTCCTGTGAAGCAGTGAGAAGTTCTGGGATCGCACTCACAAACAAAACTTCTGTAGCGGGTCATACCGGACCATCGCTTGTACGGCTTGACGGTATACAACGTGTCCAACGACTGACACGTCTTGAACTTCCCAATGGGCTCGAATGGCGACACCTGGACGAGATATAACCTGCTTTTGTTTGGAACGCCACGCTTACGCTTTTTGGAGCTTGGTCCAGCTCCTCACAGGACCGCGCCGCGATTGTGGCCACAGTGAAGGGGCATTCTGCGCGGTTGTTTTCGATGGCGCGATGTCTCTTTCTTCCCGAGCTCATGACCGACACTACTGTCGTGCGATGGAAATTCCGGGCGATTGCACGCGTGCGTTGCCGATTGCAGGCAACAGGCAACTGTCAAGTTGTCTGCTGCGGTGGTGTTGTTTAAGGTTAGGGGCTGAGCTGGATGAGATTTGCTAGAGATCCGGCCACTTCTGCCTCATCAAGACCAGGCCGCTGCCAGGTTCTTCCGAGCCTCCTGCTGGATAACCCGATCACGTGCCATGTACCTTTGGGTTGCCTAGGTGGTAATCCGTACAACACATTTTGTAAACGCACAACAGAATGTGGGGCAAATGTGGCGCCACATGGGCCACACTAAGGGCACGATGCTTCCCGCCTAAGGGCACGATGTTTAGTCCTATTTAGGCAAGTGCGCCGACGGGCGCGACAGCTGTACATTGCTGCACAGCCAATTTACTACTACAACACAAGTCACACAGTTTGCGCGCGCCGCCACAACGCGACCGCGTCAAACGATAGATAGCACACTATCGTCGCCGCCCTTGACGCTCAATACCACAGTCTATCGTCACTCTATTATTACGCAACAACCAACGATGACCCCTATAGGCTGCCGTACCCCTAAAAGGGGCAGCAAGGGGGCATGCCGGGCATTATTTATTTTTATTTATTAACGAATGAAAAGCGAGAACATCGACGAATCAAAAGCGAGAAAAGAACAACCGACGAATCAAAAGCGAGAACGCCAGCGAATCAGAGGGCGGCATTTGCGGGGGGGAAATCGACAGGTAAGGCAACCCTTCACAGGTAAGGCAACCCCTCATGGGTTGCGCAAAAAGCCTTGAGGAACGAAGACTGAGGATTGAGACAAACAAGACGAAGACAGAGGGCGAGAGCAAAGAACGCAAGCAGGCGGTAGCGCCAGGAACTAATGCATGCAAGAAGGTAGGCAAATAAATCGGCCATTCGGGCACCATCCCGCAGCGGGAAGAGGAGAAAAAGCAAGAAGGCAAATACAGCGATGATAACGGTTGCGGGGTAAGAGAGAGAAGGAGTATAAGAGAGGCACCAAGGCACGAATAGGAGAGCAGAAGCGTCTACCCTAGCTACCGATCGAGCAGTTAGGAAAACAACTACAGCATGGCCACTTGCAACGTTTCCGTGGAGTTCTGGTGCGAATTCGGGGCCACGGAGCTGAAGTACAAGCATAGCATCCCGAAGACGCTCGTGACGCAGGTAGGCCAGGCGAGGCCGAACCACGCAGCCAGTGCACTGTTCCTACAGTGGATAAGGCCGATCCTACGGGAGCACGAGGCAGCGTGTCGGAAGGCAGCAGGGTGCGCTGCGAGAGCTGCGGCGGACTCGCAAAGGAGATTCTACAGAGCCCGATATCGTACCTACACGCAGAGAGGCCGTTTGTGCTCGTGGTCGTGTCGTCGTTCTGCGGCAAAGAAGGATGCGAAATTAGGACGAGGCAGGAAATGCAGGACACGATGGCAGAGGCGGGGCAGGCGGGCGGAAACAAGGGCGCGACGCAAATGCAAGGGCAGGATGCGCAGAGCACAGAGGGGAAGGTCTGCCGGGTTTGTGGAGAGATGGCGGGGGCGAGGAGGTGCAGCCGATGCCTGACGGTGGCGTACTGCAGCAGGCAACACCAAAAGGAGGACTGGAAGGTGCACAAGAAGGGATGCAAGCCAAAGGCAAGCTAGGGAGCTAGGGAGAGGAGGAAGGAAAGTAAAGGGACAAGGCATAACGCGCAGGACATAAACAAGGTCACGGAGAACAAATAGAGGCAGGCACTATCGTAAGAAATAGGTCGCAAGCTAAAGTTGTTGTTTCAAAAAGAGATAAACGTTGTAATGTGTAGAGTAATGGTAATTTTGCAGCGATAAGTTTCGTTAGGAATAGCATCTCGAGAGGGAGAACGGTTTATTTTAGTAAAGGCAAGAGGCGTAAGAGAGCGATAGGTTTATAGTAGGCAGCTCATTTCTGCATGCGATAGCGGATAGGTCGAGCGGGCGGGTCGGAGGTGCTCGCGACAATAGAGTCAAGAGGGGAACCCGGCTTGGCTGCCGGAGCGGGAACGGGCGGGACGCCGCTCGGTCGAGACGAAGAAGCGGCCGGCGGGGGAGAGGAGGAGGGGGCGGCGGAGCTGACGGTGTCCGAAGACGAGGAAGGCGGCGAATTCTGCTGCTGCAGCAAGCGCGCCCTCTTCATGGGCGTATCGGCAAGGGCCGGGTGGGAAGTTTAGTGTAAAAGAGAAGGGCCAGTGGCGATGGTGTGTAAGAGAAGTCAAAGGATTCTAAACAAAGACGCAACATGGCGTTAGTGGTAGGTTATATAAGGAGCCTTTGTAAAAGAGGGTTATAAGATGCGTATAGAGGAGAGTGCAATAAGAGAAGGAGAACTTTAAAGGCGGTCTAGTAAGATGTTGAGAGTTTTTAAGACAAGCAGGACGCGCGAAGCTATATTCGAGGAGAAGCAGGCAGCCCTATTCGCAACACGTGTAAGACATGGTTTTAAACTTCAGCGGGCAAGTGTCTAGGGGCATACGGAAGCTTTGACTGATAAGAGCTGGATGACAAGAAGGAAAAGCGTAGCATGCAAAGCATAGGCAAGAAGAAGCCGTCGCGGCGACGTACATATAAGGATCGGCCGAGGCCGTCTAGCCTATCGCATATAGCAGCAGGCAATGGCGGGCGGGCTTAATAGAAAGGCGGCGCCGGTATAATGCAAAGAGCAGCAGCACGCATATAGATATAGTAGAGAGCTACGAGTAAGATATATAGACTTTTGTAGAGGATCCTATATGCGCAAGAGGGTGCCAGTCAGCAAGATAAGTGCAGGGCGAATAATCGAGGCAAGGATTTATACGCTGTTATTACACTTACGAGGATTTACGCCAGGGGCCTAGTGGCACCATAAGTAGGCAGGGCCAAAGAGGGCAGGTGCAAAAGAGGAAGACAAGACGTCCGTGGGGGCTTTGGTAGACCGGTGTCGCAATGAAGCCAGCCAACGGAAGGGACCAGTCCGGAGCGGGGGACGGGGCAAGCCCGGCGCCAGAAGCCTGCGCAGCGCCGTACACAGGACCAGAGTTCCAGCCGACCACAGCAGCGCCGGCACTTGCTAGCGGCGCCCCTCGGAGAGAGCAAGAAGAGGCGTCAAGGGAGGCGCCTCCGAGGCGAGGGCGGGGAAGACCGCCAGGACTAGGGAGATGGAGGATCAGCGCAGGCCGAGTCATGCCGCGGGATATCCAGCCTCGGCCGACACCAAGCGCGGCGGCAACTTGGCTGCCGCCGACACCGAGGGCGGCAGGGCACTGGCTGCCGCAAGGCGTGCCCAGCGCCGTCTCGGCCTCAGGGAAAAGCCAGCGCGCACCAAGAGAAATCCGGCCTCTGCCGACAGTAGAGGCCGCCGGTCCTCGCCGCCGCCGACGAGAAGTTCGGACGTTCCGCGGGACATTCGGCCACAGCCGACATGGAGGGCCGCCGGCCCTTCGCCGCCGACGAGAAGTTCGGACGCGCCGCGGGATATCCAGGCTCTGTCGACACCGACGGCGGCAGGGCGCCGGCTGCCGCAAGGCGGGCCTAGCGCCGTCTCGGCCTCAGGGAAAAGCCAGCGCGCACCGAGGGAAATCCGGCCTCTGCCGACGGTGGAGGCCGCCGGGCCTTCGCCGCCGCCGACGAGAAGTTCGGACGTTCCGCGGGATATTCGGCCACAACCGACTTGGAGGGCCGCCGGCCCTTCGCCGCCGTCAAGCGGGACTAGCTCGGCCGTAGTCTCGATCGGAAGCCAGCACTCGCCGCGAGCCATCCAGTCCCGGCCGGCCAGCAGGGCCGAGATCCCCGCCACAACTCCGGCCGCAGCCGGGCTGCTTGTTGGCGGCAGAGATAGCGCCTCGGCAGGTACGGTCGTAGAGCGAGGTAAAGGCGTGTAGCGGTGATAGCTAACCGGACGCAGGTAGATCGGCGATAAGACGGCAGGCGAGGAAGAGCAGAAGAGGAAACGCCATCTTAGTAGTGGGCAGGCCGAGCGGAAACGCGCCCGGTCGGTGAAAGGTGCCGAGACCAAGGGAGCTGCAGGCCGAGGACCTAGCCAGCGCGCTGCGGCACCTCGACGAGGAGTTCGAGGCGGGCGAGAGGCTGGCTAACGAGCAGACGTGGTGTGCGCCGGTGCCGCGCGAGAGGCAGGTGAGGACGGTGCGGAAGTTCTACCGGGCGTTCCACGACGCTGGCACGCTGCCGATCGCGACCTGCACGCTATGCTACCGGAAGCGGGCCAAGGGGGAGCTGAGGGAGATGGCGTGGGAGGGGTGGGAGGGGTGGTCGCGGAGCGGTGTTGCGGGGGGCGGGCGGTCCCCGTTCGGGTGCCAAGCCTGCTTCCCGGAGGGCAGGCCGGTGGCGGTCTGCGCAGAGTGCGCGCGATGGGCCGGGCGTGAGGGGGCGTCGCCGGCCATGCACCTCCATGGGCGGCTCGGCTGCGAGCACGCGTACCCCGACGAGCTAAAGGACCTCACGCCGCTCGAGGAGAAGCTCATCTCGCTCAACTCGTGCTACGGCTTCGTGACGAAGTATAGCATCCCCGGCGGCCAGAGGCAGAGCGTGAGGTACCCGAGGCACGTCAAGGGCCATATCACGGTGTTCCCGAACGACGTGCAGGGCCTGGCTGCCAGGTGCTCCCGCACCCGCTGGTCCGGGTCATGGACGAGATCCACGTCTCGTGGCAGGGCGCTGAGAGGCCCGGGCCGCGGGACCTATCAGGCCTGCTGTCGGTAAGGCGGTCGGCGGTCGAGAGGGCGCTGGCCTGGCTCAAGGAGAACAACCCGCTCTACGGCGAGGTCGAGATCGACGCGGCGGAGATAGCCAGCTGGGGGGCGCCGCCGCACGGGGTGCCGCCGGTGGTGTGCGAGCGGCTGGAGCGAAACGAGCCGTCGGCGCGGGAGAGGACGCAGACGGCGCAGGTGGTGCCGCCGTCGGAGCGGGCCATGGACGACGGAGGCGCGGCCGAGATCGAGGAGGTCCTCGCGATGCTAAGGCAGGGCCAGGACCCCGCCGAGGGGAGCCGCGACGTCGGGCTCACGTGCGAGGACGACGACAGGGACGGCGCTAGGCCCGAAGAGGACGGGGACGTAATCAATGAGGTAACGTCTTCCGGCATGTTCCCGTTAGATGGGGCGCCAGATGTGGCCGACGCCGAGAAGATTCGCTTCGCCGCGACGCGGTCGGGCCCGAGGGAGCGCGCGCCAGCCCGAGGACGTGGGTAGGGACGGCGGCCAGAGGGGCGGCGGGCGACGGCGGCGACGGCGAGCCGTACATACAGGTGCGACGCGGCGAGGATTTCGCCGACTCGGCGGACGCCTCCTTCTTTGCAAAGGCCTTTCCGACCCTGTTCCCTTTGGCTTAGGCGGGCCGAGGCTCGCCGACGAGGACGCCGCGGAGAGAGCGCGGGCCCAGCGTCGGGAACCAGGGCGCCCAGGCGGAGCGGGTTGCAGAGGGCCTTATGTCGACGCGGAACATGAAGCTCCAGGCATGGGCCGACGTCGTGCTGCGGCGTCACGGCGGCCGGTTCGCGACGCACCCTATCTTCGCCTTCCTTGTCTTTAACATGGGCGTGCGGTCTAAGAACCGCCAGGCCAGCATGCTAGGCGTAGCGAGGAAGAACTTCGCAAGGGTCGAGGGCCTACTAAAGTCGTTAACGGCGCAGAGGCTCGAGGCGGCCAGGGCCGAGCTCGAGGCCACAGGTAAGACTAGCGACGACGGGGTAAAAGAGCTCCTCCGGTCCCTCTCCGTGTTCGGCTACCGGCAGCCAATGTCGAGGGAGAGCCGCCTTAGTATGCGGAAGAAGATACTATCCCTCATCGTTAGGTACGGGGTGCCGGCTATCTGGTTCACGCTGAACCCGAACGACATTACGAACCTAGTAAAGTTACGGCTAGCGGCGCACCGCGGCCGCGACCCCGACGAGGCCGAGGCCTTCCTAAGTGACCTAGGGACCGCGTATAAGCGGACGCGGCTGGCCATATCGGACCCGATGAGCTCGGCCGTCTTCTTCCACCGGGAGATGACGCTCTTCTTCGAGCACTACGTCAACGTCGGGGAGGAGTCGGTGTTCGGCCACGTCGGCGCATACTACGGGGCGGTAGAGACCAACGAGCGAGGCGCCCTCCACATCCACGGGCTCCTCTGGCTAAGGGGCAACGCGGGCATTGGCGACGCGCTCGCCGGCCCGGACGCGGAGGAGCAGGCGGCGTACCGGGAGCGCATCGTCCGCTACGTAGATAGCGTCTTCTCTGAGGTAAGGCGGCCGCCTTAACACAAACCCCCGATGCCCCCTATCTGGGTCAGGCTGAGGGGCCTAAGCTGAACCGAGGCCGCAGGAGCTAGACGCAGAAGGTTACTGTGCCATGCAGGCAGAGCGGTCGGCCACGGCGGACATATCGTCGCGGCTCGACGACGTCGCGCGCTTCACGGACACCTTCGACGAGGAGGCCAACTTCTGCGCGGGCGCGACGCAGATCCATACGCATAGCGCGACCTGCGTAAAATACTCGCTCGGCGTGGGGCGCGGAAGGGGACCTCTGCCGGTTTAAGGCGCCGTGGAGGTTGGTGGAGAGGACGGCGCTGACGGCGGACGGGGTGCTCGAGATCCGGCGGACGCATAGCATGGTGAACCGGTGGAACAGGGCGATGGCAGTGGGGCTACGACACAACCACGACATCTCGTTCATCGCGACGCAGCGCAAGACCATGGCCCTAATCTACTATATTACTAACTATGCGACGAAGGTAGAGGACCCGGTGTGGAAGCGTGTGGCCGCCGCGGCCGAGTTCCTTCCTGTGCTAGAGCCGACGGGAGAGGGCAACAGAAGTGGCGCCGACCGCGACGCCGGCCGGGAGGGCGGGGCCGAAGGGGTAGCGACGGCGGCGGACCCCAGGGGAATAAGACGAGAACGTTCCTGCTTAAGGCGGCGAATCGAGTCTTTACGGAGCGGCCGCTGTCGCAGGTCGAGGTGATCGCGCACCTCCTAGGGTACCCGGCGGAGTTTAGCAGCGGCTCAGCGTGGGCGTATATAAACGCAAACCAGCTCTACTGGGCCGTCTTCCGCCGGTGGCGGCACCTCCGACGGGCGAGCGGCGCCGAGGCGACGGGCGACGCGCCGGACGAGACGGTCGTCGTCGAGGAGGCTGGCCTGAGGATCCCTCTCGTCGAGGCCTACCGGCACCGGGGCGAGCTCCTGCGGGGCCTCTGCCTTTATGACTACGCATCGCTTGTAAGGTTAAAGCAAAACGGCAGCGGCGCCGACGGTATGGCGGGGTGGGGGGGGGGACCCCTCGCGGGGAGCTGGGCGGCGGGGGAGGGGTGGGGGCAGGCGCTTAGGCGGCCGGGGTGCGGGGCGACTGTATGCGTCGACGGATACCTCAGCAAGGAGTTCAGCGAGGAAGACGACGAGTCGTGCCACCGGAGGTGCGTACTATAAGACGGGGGGCGCCTAAGAGGAAGGCAGAGCAGCTAGGGGCATCGGCTAACAGCATCTAAGGGGGCGAGGAGGCATACCGCGCCGGCGGGGCGGGCGACGCGGCCCGGCTCATCGACGTCGTCCGGAACGCCGCCAGCGCGGGACAAGTCACGGCGCAGTCAACAGAGCTGCTAGCGATGACGCAGCAGCTCTGCCGGTTCCAGCAGTCGGCGCTCGGGTCGGCGGCCGAGCTCGCGGCGACGGTGGTGGCGGACGAGAGGGCAGGCAGGCGGGTGAACCTACCGGGCTCGGCGCTGTCGGGGGCGGCACTGCCGCGGCAAGAAGAGGTGCGGGCCATCAAGTCGCAGCAGAGGAGCGCGGCGCGGGAGCGGGAGCGGGCGATCCAGGGCATCCAGGGCGGCGGGGCGGCGGCGGGCGTCGGGGCCGACCGCGGCGCGGCCCTTCGCGGGGTGATGGGGGGGCTTCGGCGAGGACGACATCGACGTAACGGCGGCCGACGGCGACGCAGACGCAGGCACGGCGGCGGGGATGCGCGTGCGGCTCGGCCCGTCGAGCTCGTTCGTCGCCGCCGGCAGGGAGCTGGCGGGCCAGCTCACGCTCAACGAGAAGCAGGCCATCGCCCTCCTAATCGTGTGCCGGCAACTCGACCGAATCCGGCAGGGCGACGACGCAGGCGGCGACGGTGGTGGCCAGCTCTGCCTATTCATCGGCGGCGAGGGCGGCACCGGCAAGTCGCGCGTCATCGAGGCGCTCGTCGAGCTGCTCGCCCGGAGGGACCTATCGAGCCGGGTACTGGTTACGGCGACGTCGGGGACGGCGGCAGCGCGGATCAACGGCATCACGCTGCACTCGGCCTGCGGCCTTACGGTCGGCCAGGGCGGCCGGGCGGGAGGGGCGACGAGGGACATTGACGGCGTACGGCTGGCGGGCCAGGGCGAGCGCTTCGTCGACGGCCGGTCGCGGATGGACTGGCAGGAGAAGGAGGTGCTGGTGATCGACGAGGTCAGCATGCTCGGGGCGCGGACGCTGCACGCCGCCAACGAGCAGCTCTGCCGGCTGCGGGGGGTCGGCGCGGGACTTCGGCGGCATCCCGGTAGTGATCCTCTGCGGCGACTTCCACCAGTTCCGGCCGGTGCAGGAACGGTCGATCCTGCTGCCGAGCGCGGCGGTGGCGTGGGACGAGGACGGGGCGTTCGCGGCCGAGCAGCGGCGGCAGCACGACAAGGCGCACGCGCTGTGGCGGCGCTTCACGACGGTCGTCATGCTAGACGAGCAGATGCGGGCCGCCGGCGACCCGGAGCTGCGGCGGCTGCTCGGGCGGATCCGCCGGGGCGAGCAGGACCGGTCGGACCTAGAGCTGCTCAACTCGAGATGCTACCGGCCGGGCAGGCGGATCCCGTGGGAGACGGGCCTGACGGTGGTGACGCCGCTCAACCGGAACCGCTGGAACCTCAACCTAGAGGCGGCGCTCGCGTTCCGGGAGAGGCGGCGGACGGCGGCGCGCGTCTTCCTCTCCGAGCATAAGTGGAGGGACGGCGTGCCGACGGAAGAGGAGGCGGTGCTAATGCTAGGCCAGGGCGACGACAGCGCGACCCCGGTGCCGGCCGTCTTCCTCTTCGTGCCAGGCATGCCGGTCGTCGTGAACCAGAACACGCACCAGGGGCTGAAGCTTGTGAACGGGGCCGGGTACACGGCGGTGGACGTCATCCCCGACCGCGCCTTCCCGGCCACCGCGTCTCGGCGGAGCTCATCATGCACTTCGGCCGCCGGCGGGCATCGTGCTGGCCTCGGAGACGACCAAGGACTTCCACTTCGTCGGGATGCCTGCCGGGACGATCCTGCTAACGCCCATCAGCGTCAAGATCACAGCGCAGCGGAAGCGGCCATGGCAGCGCAACGACGTCAGCCGGAGGGCCTGCCGTGCGCCGCGGCCTTCGCCTGCACCGACTATAAGGTGCAGGGCGGGACGCCAGAGCGCGTGGCGCTGGAGCTGCGGGGGCGAGGATGACGACGGTCGAGGGAGGGCGGTGCCGTCGTCGTGCGACCCGTATAGCCTATACGTGCAGCTGTCGCGGTGCCCGACGCTCGACGGCATCATGCTCGTATCAGAGGTGCGGAGCGGGACCTAGTGGGAACCGGGTGCCTGAGGAGATGACGGCAGCGCAGGCCCGGCTAGAGGAGCTTAGCAGGCAGACAACACAGGAGGCGGCCGACTGGCTCCGCAGGTAACGCAGGCGCCCTGCATTTTCCACACTTCTGACGTAAAAGGAGTGTAGGTTAAGGGCCAGGAGGACGGGCGAAGGGGGTGGTCTGTGGAGGCGTGTGGTCTATGGCGGAGTTAGAAGCCGGGCCGGCTTGGGCACCTTCCTCTATGTGGTCTGCGGCGGCGTATGGTCTACGGAGGCGTTGGAAGCGAACTGCGCAGCTGGAACTAAAAGGGGCAGCAAGGGGGCAGGGCATTATTTATTTTTATTTATTAACGAATGAAAAGCGAGAACATCGACGAATGAAAAGCGAGAAAAGAACAACCGACGAATCAAAAGCGAGAACGCCAGCGAATCAGAGGGCGGCATTTGCGGGGGGGAAATCGATGGCGAATTTTTTTTCTCCCCGGGGAGGAATTTTTTTTCTCCCCGGGGAGGAACCCTAAGAACCTTTCGTCACTCGTTCCTCGTTCCTCAAGGCATGGCGAATTTTGTTTCTCCCCGGGGAGGAACCCTAAGAACAGGAGAGGCAACCCAACGGGGGTTGCGCAAAGAGCCTTGAGGAACGAAAGACTACAGGGAAAAAAAATTAAGGAAGAAAAAAAAGGGGCAGACGTGAGGATTGAGGATGGAGTAAGAACAGGGGGGACTTAAGGACGGAGTGAAAAAGAGTGATAGAACCAGGGTAGGGTTAAGGAGTAGGTTAACTTAAAGTATAAGATTTAACTGTCTTACTCGTTTAGGAAACTGTAGCAGTTTATGGTTTCGCATCGTTATTCCGTTTCGGTAGCTTTCTTAGATAGGGGACGGTTTCGGAGTGGACGGGCCGGCGAGTCCAAGCCATGCGCGACAATGGAATGGAGGGAAGAGTCCCCTAAGACATGACCCCGTTTAGGGCTATCCGGCTTAGATGTCAAGGAGGCAGCCGAAACAGAGAACGACTGGGTGGCAGATGAGCCAGGGTTAGGGAAGACGAAGGCACCGGGGCCTTATGCAGCAGCCGCGGTCGTTTCGTCGGCGTATCGGCAGGCTCGGGCAACATCGCTTCCCGGGCGGCCCAAGGGGCCGGTCGAGGGCGAAGCCGAAGCCAAAGGTGGAGGGCTGAGCGGGAGGGTGCCAGGGTGGCCAAAGACAAAGAGGCAGCGCGCATGTCCTGAAAGGCCGCGGAAGGGGAGGACGCCTGCTGCCTCTGTGGTGTAGAGAGAAGTGGTGTCATTGGGGTGACGGCGGCGGCGGCCTTGTCGAGAAATGTCCAAGAATCCGGGACGACAATAAAGACGTTGTCCCGGTCGGAGCCTGGGGGATAGAGCATAACGTCATGACGGAGCAGGCCGGCGACCTTGGCTGTGCAAGTAAAGGGGACGTTGGGTTGGAATTGAGAGTCCCGCCTCTCGGCCATCTTCTTACACAAGATGGCCCAGGGGTTAGCGCGAATAGGAAGATGACGAAGACCTGGAAGGGTGGAAGCCCTTGAAGGGGAGTTTATTGGGCATCCCAGGAGCGACGTAGGTAGAAAGGCGGACAAAGCCGCAACAGTTAAGCTGGGCGGCGTCTAGACCCGGCAGGAGGTCCCGCCGGAGCAAGGAGTGGCCGGTGCCGACGATAAGGCCGGTAAAGGAAACAATAGGCGGGACGCAGGGGAAGTCGTCCATAGGGGCCAAGAGCCTAGGAAGAACGCTTCAGGCCCACCTTAGCTATGTATCTTTTCGTTGGCACTTGCGAGGGAACAGGGCACGGCTTACGGCTGGTAGCCTTGGTCGCGGACGACAAGGGCGGGCATCGTATAGAGAAGGGTGCCGCCCGTGTCGGACTCCAGGCCGTCGCGCTGCTCAATCTCCCACGCAAGGGCGTAGGGGTGGACGCGGCCATTCATGAAAAACCACTCTTCCGTCCATTTTGAGGCATCAATAGGCTGGCCGTAAATCGAGAGATTGAGACTAAAGAAGACGGATGTCGGGGAATCGTCGGCCTCCGATCGGAGGGGCGCATATCCCATCGCGAGCAGCCAGGCGGGCGGAGGCAGCAAGACGCGGGCCATGGCCTCGGCGTTAAGACCCTTGATGCGGTGCTCGTCCTGGTGGGCAAATCTAACGGGGCAATCCGGCTGGACGAAAAACACCATGGACATCTCGCCGCCAGCGCCCCTCTGGCTATCGAGCGGCTTTCGAAGGTGTGGTGCGGGCACATCGATGGGAGGTAGAGAGGAAGACATGGTGCAGCAACGCAGGTCGATAGGCCAGTCGCGCGCACGAAAATGACCAGTGCTCAGTGTCAAGAAAGAAAGGAGTAGGGAAGAAGTCGAGCGTGAAAGCACTTGGGATAGATCAATGGTGACATAGATTCGCCGGGAAGGGCGAGGAGCCTTGCCGCTGTAAGTAAACGGACGTTGAAGAGATGCGTAGTGGTGTCGTGTAGCTGGGTTCCGATCAGGCACCAAGGGCGGCGCGGACTAAAGTGTCCGGCAGGGCTGGCGGCATAGGAGGCCGAAAGCTAGGGCTGTCGGCAGATAAGCCTGCCGATAGGTCCAGAGGAAGCCCAGCAGGCCTGGGAGAGCAGAGGCCTGATGCAAAAGGAGGACATCAATAAGGAAGGACATAAACAGGGGGCGTTTTAGAAGGCTGAAGATAAGGGGCGGGGATGAAGCAGGCAAGATCAGCACAGGAACCTTGTCATACCTTTCCACGCCCTGTTGTACACCAATTAGTTTGCCCTCCTCGCGGGGGTAGAGACCGACCTAATATATAACACGTACAAAGCGCACGGGGAGGTGTTGCAGGAAGGTCGTGGTTACACTTGATAGGGAAGGTCGGGAAAGAGGGGACCGGAAGCAACCGTTATAGGTGAGGGCGAGCTGAAGGAGGGCCATTCCTACTTTCGGTGCAGCAGGAATACTAAGAGATACCGAGGAAAAGAAAGATTAGCACAATGTTCCTTTGGCCGCCTATTTGCAACGGCCAAATAGAAAGATGCGGAGGAGAACCGAGGAGGAGGAGAAGACCTCGCCAGGCAGATTTTTATGGTGTCAGCTCCTGCGCATGGGCTAGTCGAGGCCGTCCGCCGGGAAAGACGCGTGGCGGCGGAGTTAGGAACCGCGGGGAGAAGGGAGGGGGTCTGTCCCGGACAAGCACTGCCGCGTTGTCCCCGAGTTATAAAGACTATAAGGTTGCTGGAGACAGACCGCTGGTAGGAAGAATGGCGATACGGCGGAACGCCATCGCCGGGAAGCAAGGCAATCCCAGCGTATATCGCGAGCGAAAGCTTCCCTATCCATCGTACGGTTGCAGAGCCTAGCCGTCAAGAAAGCACCAGCATGGGGGAGAATCCTAGCCGCGAGGCTAGGTTGGTGGCAAGAGGGTGCGAAATAGCGACGGTGGCAGCGGCCGCTGCTGCGACGAGGAGCATTACGGCGGGGAGACTGAGTGCAACGGACGAAGGGCCGAAGCGGGCCTCGGACCATGAAAGCCAAGCTAATACGGTACCTAGGTTCCGGCCTATCGAAGCCAAGCAGGCAACGCTGGCTGAGGAGGCCTCACGAAGAGAACAAGCAGAGGCACTCAAAAGAGCGTTGCCCAAGGGAAGTCGGCGAGGCGGTTGGCCGCGGGAAAAGACGACGCACGTCAATGGCGCCTCCTCGAAGGGAGGGCGGGCGCGACGCTCAGAAGCGATAAACGCGCGTGATAGGTGTCCAAGCATAGAAGCAGACGCTGCCACAATAGGGTCGGTAGTTGCTGAGCCGGCTAGGCGGGGTCTTACGCCGTCCGTTGGCGCTGTGTTGGAGGGAGCGGCCGACAACCTCGTACCGCAGCGGCACACGTTGGCGAAGGAGATGAGGGCTAGGAGTGGCGAGAGAGGCGCACCAGGCATAGTTGCTCTGCAAGCACCACCCGCCCCAGGGGTCTTGGTTGGGCGAAACGAATGCCTAAGCGGCAGGGATCTTCCGTCGCGGCCGGAGGTGGCCACGAGATCGTTCGGCCTGGGCAACTCATCGGTGGCGTACGGATGACTCTGAAGGGTCTTGTTAGGCGGACAACTGGTGCCGGGGAACAGAGGAGGGAGACCGACAAGCAGGATGGGATTTCGGCTGGGAGAGGCGAGCCTGCAGTCGCCCCGGCCCATCCAGCCCAAAGGGATCAGGGACGTGGCCGGGCACAATCGTCCTTCTGGCGAGGCCGGGTCGTGCATCGGGGCAGCGGCCGCTGCTACGAGGAGGAATACTGCGAAGGCGAGACCGAGCGCGACGGACGAAGGACCGAAGCGGGCGTTGGGCCGCGAAAGTCAAGCGGGCCCGGCACCTGGGTTGCGGCCTATCGAGGCGAAGCAAGCGCCGATGTCCGGGGAGGTCTCAGGAGGAGAGCAAGCGGAAGCACCCGAAAGAGCGTCGCCTCAGGGAAGTCGGCGAGGCAGTTGGTCGCGAAAAAATACGGCGCGCGTTGATGGTGCCTCTGCAAAGGGAGAGGCAGCGCGACGTTTAACAAGATCTCGGCCAGAGGACGTAAGCCAGCGCTTGCCGCAACAACCCATCCAGCCGAAAGGGATCAGGGGCGCGGCCGGACACATACCTCCCTCGGACGAGGGCGGATCGTGCGTCCGGGTCGTGGAGGGCGTCCAGAGGGGCACGACTAGAAAGCGAAGGGGTGGTGCGCAGACGAGGCCCAAGGGCCCCGACGGACACTCAAGCCGCCCAGGAGCACAGGATCGGCCGGCAACCAGTGTCGGGGTTTCGTCTCGAGTTGTCAGGGAGCGCCTCATTAGGCCAATCCAACCTAAAGAAATAAAATACAGAGCGGGAGATTTGCAGTCACCCGGACGCCAGGCGGGACAGGGTCGGCCGGCAATCAGGGTCGGGACCTCGCCCAGAGTAGTCGTCAGGGAGTACGTCGTTCAGCCGATCCAACCGAAAGAGATGGAAGAGGGAGCCGGAGATACACACTCATCCGGACGGTTGCCACCACGGCCATCAGGGGAGGCAGCGGCGGGAGAACAAGACCGGCCGAGGCGAGACGAGGCTGCGGCAAGATCTTCGCGGCCAGCGGAACAGAGAAAGAGGAACCGGCAACCCGACCGAGACGAGCCACTGACGAAACGTACTCGAGGCGGCCAATCTAGGAGGTGGGGATGGAGCAGGAGATGTGCAGTCATCCGGACGGCTGCCACCACGGCCACCACGCCAGGCAGGACGGAATCGGCCGGCAACCAGGGTCGGGATCTCGTCTCGAGTTGTCGGGGAGTCCCTCGTTCGGCCAATCCAACCTAGAGAAATAGAAGATGGGACAGGAGATTTGCAGCGATGCGGACGCCAGGCGGGACCGGGTCGGCCGGCAACCAGTGTCGGGACTTGGCCCGGAGTCGTCAGGGCATCCCCCCTCCAGCCAATCGAAGCTAGAGATGGAGGATGGAGCCGGATATTTGCAGTCATCCGGACAGTTGACACCACGGCCATCACGTCAGGCGGCGGCGGGAGAACAAGATCGGCCGAGGCGAGACGAGGCAGCGGCAATATCTGCGCAGCCCGTGGAACAGAGAAAGAGGAACCGCCTGCCCGACCGAGACCAGCCCCAGGCGAAACGTAGTCGAGGCGGCCATCGGAGGCAGAGGAGCCGTGAGTCACAGGCGGAGGATTTGGCCGGCGTCTTACGTCACCTTGGGAGGAATTCGCCGCGAAGGAGAGGCTGTCCAACGAGCAAACGTGGTGCACACCAGTGCCGCACGAGAGGAAGGTATCAACGGTGCGGAGCTTCTACCGGGCGTTCCACGACGTGGACACGCTGCCGATACGGACGTGCATGCTGTGCTACCGGAAGCGCACGAGAAAAGAGCTGAGGGAGGTGGCATGGGACCAGTGGTTGTCAAGTCCTATCCCTAAGGCTGGGTGGTCGCCATTTGCGTGCCGGAGTTGCTTCCGCGAGGGCGAGCCTGTCCCGGTTTGCGCAGAGTGTTCTCGACGCTTGGCGTGCGGTGTGCTGTCGCCAGCGGCGCAGCTTCATAGACGTCTCGGTTGTGAGCACACGTTCCCGGATGAGCTCAAGGGCCTGACGCCGGTGGAGGAGAAGCTGATCGCGCTGAACTCGTGCTACGGATTCGTAACCAGGTACAACGTCTCAGGCGGCCAGAAGCAGACGCTAAGGTATCCCAAGCACGTCAAGGGCCACATCACGGTGTTCCCAAACAACGTACAAGAGCTGGCGACGGACGTGCTGCCGCACCCCTCTCTTCCAGGTAATGGACGAGATCCACGTCTCGTGGCAGGGGGCGCTAAGGCCGACACCGAGCGATCTGTCGAGTCTCCTATCGGTGAGGCGGCGAGTCGTCGAGAGAGCCCTTGTCTGGTTGAAGAGGAACAACCCCCACTACGCCGCGATCGAGATCGACGCGGCAGAGATGGAGAGCTGGGGGAGACCCGGCCCACGGGGTGCCGCCGTTGGTGTACGAGCGCCTGGAGCGGAACGAGCCGTCGGCGTGGGAGAAGACGCGGACGGCGCACGTCGTGCCGCCCACGGAGCGGGCCATGGACGACGAGGGGGCGGTGGAGATCGAAGAAGTCCTCGCCATGCTCAACCAAGGGGAAAGCACGACGAGTCGCGAGGCCGGCGAGCCAGAGGCAAGCGAGGTGGACGAGGTGCGTGGTCAGAGCTGCGGCGAGGCCGATGATAATGCGAAGACGGTCAACGAGGTGACCTCGTCAGGGATGTTTGCGTTGGACGGACCGCCCGACGTGGCCGACGTCGACAAGCTGCGGTTCGCATGCGATTCCGTTCGCCAAGGCGCAGCCGACGACGGTACGGGCCCGAGGACGTGGGTCGAATCCTCGGCAAGGGCAGCCGGGGCACGTCGATGGCCCTGAACCATTCATCCATGTCCGCCGCGGGGATGAATTCGCCGACTCGTTCGAAGCTTCTTTCTTCGCAAAGACCTTTCCCACGCTATTACCATTCGGTGTCGGAGGGCCGCGGCCGGTCGAGGAAGCAAGCTCGCAGTTGGGCAGAGGCTCGGTCAACACGCGCGCGGCGGCGGAGGCGGGGGGCAGGACCTCCTGTCATCCCGGAACATGAGCCTTCGTACGTGGGCCGACACGGTGTTGCGACGCCACGGCGGCCGGTTCGCGACGCACCACATCTTCGCATTCCTCGTCTTCAACATGGGCGTGCGGTCGAGGAACCGCCGCGTCAGCATGCTGAGCGTGACGAGGAAGAACTTCCGCAAGGTGGAGCGCATCGTACGGTCGCTGACCGCAGACGGGTTAGCGGCAGCTAGAGCCGAGCTGGAGAGCACAGGCAAGACGACCGACGACGGCGTGAAAGAGCTTCTCAGGAGCCTCTCGCTCTATGGCTATCGTCAGCCCATGTCGAGAGAGCTCCGTCTCAGTATGCGGCACAAGATCCTGGCGCTCATCGTCCGCTACGGCGTGCCTGCGATCTGGTTCACGATCAACCCAAACGACATCACGAACCCGGTGAAGCTCCGACTGGCAGCGTACCGCACGCGCGACCCTGAGGCGGCCGAGGAGTTCCTGCGGAGCCTCGATATGTCGTTCAAACGGGTGAGGCTGTCCGTCTCCGACCCGATGAGCTCAGCCATGTTCTTCCACCGGGAGATGACGCTGTTCTTCGAGCATTACGTAAATGCAGGGGAGTCGGTGTTCGGGCGCATCGGCCACTACTACGGTGCCGTGGAGACCAACGAACGAGGATCCCTTCACGTCCACGGGCTGCTCTGGTTACACGGAAACGCGCACCTGAGCTCCATGCTTTCCGACGCCCACGGGGAGGAGCAGGCGGCGTACCGTGAGCGAATCATCCGCTATGTCGATAGCGTCTTCTGTGAGGTAGGTAACAGCAAGGGGCGTTGCTGTCATGGGCCGAGAAGACGCAGGCTGACGCGGAAGGCAGGACTTGGACCAGGAAGGCTTCTGCGCCGTGCAGGCGGAGCGTTCGGTGACGTCTGACGTCTCATCCCTGCTGGACAGTGCCGAGCAGTTCTCGGCCGGATTCGAAGAGGAAGCCAACTTCTGCGCCGGCGCGACGCAGATCCACACCCACAGCCCGACATGCGTCAAGTACTCCCTGGGCAACAAGGGGCGAAGGGGCGACCTCTGTCGCTTCAAGGCGCCATGGAAGCTGGTCGAGGAGACGACGCTCACAGGACGGCGTGCTGCGGATCCGCAGGACGCATCCCATGGTGAATCGGTGGAACAAGGCCATCGCCGTGGGCTCCGCCACAACCACGACATCTCCTTCATAGCGACGCAGCGGAAGACCATGGCTCTCGTCTATTACGTGACGAATTACGCGACCAAGGTAGAGGACCCGACGTGGAAGCGCGTCGCCGCGGCCGCGGAACTGCTGCCCGTCGTCGCAGCAGGTGGCCAGCCGGGTGCCAGGGAGGATGCCGGAAATGGCGTCGTCGGCGGCGACGACGGAACCAAGAATAATAAGACGCGGCAGTTTCTGATGAGAGTGGCGAACAGGATATTCACGGAGCGCGCCCTGTCGCAAGTCGAGGTCGTCGCCCATCTCCTGGGATACCCGAGCGAGTTCACGAGCAGCAGCGCCTGGGCGTACCTGAACGTGTCGGTGCTCTACTGGCACGTCTCCAGGCGCTGGCGACACCTTCGGCAGGAGAGCGGCACCGCGGTCGCAGACGTGTCCGTGGACGAGTCGGTCGCCGTGGAGGAAGCAGGCGAGAGGATCAGCTTCGCCGAGGCGTACCATCATCGCGGACACGTCCTACGAGGCTTGTGCCTATATGACTATGTTTCGCTCGTCAGGCTCCAACGCGTCGGCAAGGACGGGTGCTCCGGTGCCTGGGAGAGGTGCCTTTCGAGAGCGGCTGGGTGGCCGGCAAAGACTGGGTGCAGGTATTGAGGCGGCCAGGAAAGCACGCCGTCGTCTGCCTTGACGGCCACCTTAGCAAGGATTTCGAGCAAGACGACGAGGAACAATGCCACCGCCGGTAAGTAGGTGCGGTGGATGGCCGGTCGAAAAGCGGTCCCAACGCGCGGTGACTAACCGTGCCGCTACAGAGCAGCCGTGCAGCATCTTGCCCTATTCGCGCCGTGGAGACCTTTCTTAGCGAAGAGCGAGGCGACATCAACGAGATATGGAGGCGCGCACGAGAGCGGCTTCCGCCAAGAACCTCGTGCCTCGTCGATAACGTTCAACTACTCCGGCGGTCCGCCGAGGACGCAAAGCGAGACGCCAAGCAATGGGCAGCGTCGTCCGGCGACGGGGATCCGGCCGGCGCACCTGGCGATTGGGGGAGGATGGGGAGGGCCGGGCGAGGCGGACCGCGAGGCGGGATCCGCGTACCAGTCCGACAACGTCGGAAACGCAACGCGACTGATCGATGTCGTTAGAAGCGCGACCGGCGCGAACCAGATCACGGCGGGTCGCGGGAGCTTTCGGGAATGATGCAGCAGCTCTCCCGCTTCCAGCAATCAGCGCTAGCCTCGACGGCCGAGCTCCGGGCCACCGTCGTGACCGAACGGGGTGGGGCACATCAACATGCCCGGGCAGGTGTTCTCCGGGGCTGCAGTGCCGCCGCAGGATCAGGTCAAGGCCATCAAGTCGCAGCAGACATGCGCCTCCAGAGAGAGGTGAAGATGATCCAGGGCATACAAAGCATGGCCCCGGCCCACGGTACCGATCGCGGCGCAGCGGAGCGGAGCGTGCTCGCCGGCTTCGGGGAGGAAGACGTCCAGGTGACGCGAGTGGAAACCGAGGAGAGGGCAGGTAACGCGGAGGCCGGCATGGAAGTCCGCCTCGGCCCATCCACCTCCTTTCACGAGGCCGGGAAAGACTTGACAAGACGATTGACGCTAAACAAGAAGCAGGCGATTGCCTTCTCCATAATATGCCGCCACCTGGACTCGATGCGGCAAGGAGACGGAGGCGACGTCAGCCAGCTCTGTCAGTTCGTCGGCGGCGAGGGCGGCACCGGCAAGTCGCGCGTCATCGAAGCACTCGTGGGCCTCTTCGCCGCGAAGGACCTCTCGCATCGCCTGCTGATCACGGCGACGTCGGGGACCGCCGCCGCGCGGTCAACGGCATCACCATCCACTCGGCCTGCGGCTTCACCAAGGACCAAGGGCCGGGCGCGAACACGGCGAGGACGTCGACGGCGTGCGGTTGCCGAGGCAGGCGGAGCGGTTCGTCAACGGCCAGTCTCGGATGGACTGGCAGGATAAGGACATGCTCGTCATCGACGAGGTGAGCATGCTCGGCGCGCGGACGCTGCACGCCGTCAACGAGCGGATCTGCCAGCTGCGGGGATCGCAGCGGGACTTCGGCGGGATCCCCATCGTCCTCTTCTGCGGGGACTTCCACCAGTTCCGCCCGGTCCAGGAGAGGTCGATCCTGCTGCCGAGCGCGGCCGTCTCGTGGGACGAGGACAACTCGTTCAGGGCCGAGCAGCGCCACCAGCACGACAAGGCGCACGCGCTGTGGAGGCGGTTCACGACGGCCGTCATGCTGGACGAGCAGATGCGCGCCGCCGGCGACCCGGAGCTGCAGCGGCTGCTGAAGCGGATCCGCGGGGGCGTGCAGGACCACACGGACCTGGATCTCCTCAACTCGAGGTGCCACCGGGAAGGCAGGCGGATCCCGTGGGAGACGGGCATCACCGTGGTGACGCCGCTCAACAGGAATCGGTGGAACCTCAACATGGAGGCGAGCCTGGCGTTCCAGATCCAGCAGCGGTCGACGGTGCGCATCTTCCTCTCGAGCACAAGTGGAAGGACGGCCTGCCGACCGAGGAAGAGGCCATCATGATGCTGAACCAGGGCGACGACAGCGCGATCCCGGTGCCGGCCGTCTTCATGTTCGTGCCGGGATGCCGGTCGTCGTGAACCACAACACCCACCAGGGGCTGAAGCTGGTGAACGGTGCTAGCTACACGGCGGTGGAGGTCATCGTCGACAAGGCGCACCCGGGCATCGGATCTCGGCCGACATGACGATCCACTTCGGGCCGCCGGCGGCGATAATACTGGGGTCGAAGACGACCAAGGACTTCCACTTCGTCGGGATGCCGCCCGGCACGATCCTGCTGACGCCCAGGCGTCAGGGTCCAGTGTCAACGGAAGCGACCGTGGCAGCAGAACGACGTCAGCCGAAAGGGCCTGCCGTGCGCCGCCGCTTTCGCGTGCACGGATTACAAGGTGCAGGGGGGGACGCTGGAGCGCGTGGCGCTCGAGCTGCGGGGGACGAGGACGACAAACGTCGGCGGACGCGCCGTCCCGTCGCAGTGCGACCCGTACAGCCTATACGTGCAGCTGTCACGGTGCCCGACGCTGGACGGCATCATGCTCGTGTCGAAAGTGCGAGAGAGAGACCTAGTGGGAAACCGGGTCCCCGGGGAGATGACCGCCGCACAAGCGAGGCTGGAGGAACTGAGCGATAGAACTGTTCGGGAAGCGATGTGCAACAGGCTCGGTGAGAGCGCGGGGGACAGAGACGGTGAGCAGTAGGTAACTTAACCCAAGAGGGCGCGACACCAATAACTTAGCTATGCCCCACCCCCGACCCTTGCAAGGACTTCATTACTAATGGGAAAATTGGGTCAGGGCGACCGGTGGAGCAGGCGGCACAAGCGAATGGGAAGGGGGGTTTTCAACGGGCCAGAAGCGAAAGCGGTTTATTATTCTGGGCAATCAGAAGTCTCAGGGCACGGACAAGCGAATCAGATGCCCCAGGACATGACAAACAGAAGGCGAAAGGCCCAACCGAAGGCGAAATGACCGTAGCCAATCGACCGAGCGAATCAGAAGCGGGGATTTCGAGGGGCAAAACCGGGGGTGGGGCATAAAGTCCTTTCGTTCCTCAAGGCACCTTTCGTCACTCGTTCCTCGTTCCTCAAGGCATGGCGATTTTTGTTTCTCCCCGGGGAGGAACCCTAAGAACCTTTCGTCACTCGTTCCTCGTTCCTCAAGGCAAGGCACTCGTTCCTCGTTCCTCAAGGCAAGGCATGGCGAATTTTGTTTCTCCCCGGGGAGGAACCCTAAGAACCTTTCGTCACTCGTTCCTCGTTCCTCAAGGCACCACGTAAGTCATCTACGTCAGCAACGTCAGCTCCATCTCCCCGATCGAATAGCTCTTCTAGCTATGAGATCGATAGTTCAGTCTCTCGAGGTCCCCGAGCCAGTAATAGTTATGCCGGACTCCTCAAAGGGTCCCCGTTCGAATAGGAGATCCTCCGGACCCCTCAGTGGTCTAGGAAGAAGAAACAACAGTTTGCAGACTTCCCTTCTTACCTGGTTTCAAGCTGTATTACCTAGAGAGACCTAGAGACCTCAACTCGTTCGGACCTTCTTCTCGACATCAGGAGCTCCGCCCCTTTCCTGGGTTTTCTCTGGAGTGCTGCTATTCGCACAAACCAAAAACCTATTCGCACCTTTCCCCTTAGCGTCGGTCCAACGCCAGGCCCCGCCACCTAATTTGTATATGTATCCCTGGGTACCAGGATGACCTCCCTAAGTCACTGCAGACCACGCATGGCATACATCTAGGCACGCACATTAGGCTAATATTGTCGGAAAAACGCGGTTGTCAGATATATGTGTTAATTGCAGCGCACCTGTCGGAGCGCGTTCCACTTTTGCCTGCGTGGCGCAATGGTCTTCGCGACAAATATAGTGCTCTAATTCGCATGGAAAACACATCTTCACTACGGAGGAACATTTCAAAAGTTCTTGCTGACGCTAAAAGAACCCCTGTACGCAAAAGAAAAGGGAAGAACCCCGTACATGAAATTGACCTCAATCGTCCTCAATCGATTCTATTTTACCAAAATGAAGACCGATATTGCAACCCGGGCATTAATTATGACGTGAAAGGCGCCTTGCAGCGGCAAATCGTCGGCTGAGATAGCTTATTTGACTGGCATTTCACCTCGTACGAACTCGTCTTTGTCTGGCTTCTTCAGTGGGACAATTTTCGCGTTTTTCCATTGGCGAGGTACCACGCCGTCTCGGAGAGATGCATCGAAGAGAGCAAATATCCGATCCTTTGCCACCGGCCAAAGTTGCCTCCATACCGCTGTCGGAAGTTCATCTCCTCCGGGTGCTTTCCACGGTTTCGCTGTCATGACCTTTTCCTCGACCTCTCCCAAAGTCAACTCGGGCATGGGTACCGCTTTCCGCTGTGGTCGCACCCCCTCATCCTCGATTCTCGCAGGCAAGGGTGGAAAGAAGGTACTGAGCAGCTCGTCCACCTGGTCTGTTAGGGCAATGTTCCTCTACTGTATCGATACCTGACTCAAGTCCCTGTGTCTGACCTGCCTCTTTCACTAGGGTTTACATGTGCGTGGATTTGACTGTCAGTCTGCTCCCTCTGACAGATCCGTTGGACAACGCGCGTTGGCCACGATCAATATGGTAGCAATGGTGTCACACACTTGGGAGGAAAACCGTAGGCAAAAGAATGCTTGATTCCTTCTATCTAATGAGTGACCGTGGTCGGAAATTTATACCTGTACTGGTTGGTGCCGTTGGCCGCAGGCATCTGAGACATAGCAAGCAGAAGCGTAGTCGCGTGAAGTTATTCCCACCACGCCACGATGGCACGAATCATCAGTGGTGCTGTTAACGGTCGACGTGACGAGCGGCTTGAAATTGACAGGTTGCCCGAAGCCATTTGAGGCCCGTCGCCCCGAGCCATCCAGTCCCGGCCGGCCAGTAGGGCCGAGGCTTCTGCCACAACTCCCGCTGCAGCCGGGCCGCTTGTTTCAGCCTTGGCCGGAAGCCCGGGGGCTCCGCAGGATATCCGGTCCCAACCGATATGGAGGGCCGCCGGGTCTTCGCCGCCGGCGACGAGAAGTTCGGACGTTCCGCGGAACATTCGGCCACAGCCGACATGGAAGGCCGCCGGCCCTTCACCGCCGTCGAGCAGGATAGGTTTAGGTTCAGCCTTGGCCGGAAACCGGATGTCTCCGCAGGATATCCGGCCCCAGCCGACATGGAGGGCTGCCGGCCCTTCGCCGCCGTCGAGCGGGACTAGCCCGGCCGTAGTCTCGGCCGGAAGCCAGCACTCGCCGCGAGCCATCCAGTCCCGGCCGGCCAGCAGGGCCGAGGCTTCTACCACAACTCCGCCGCAGCCGGGCCGCCTGTTAGCGGCAGAGATAGCGCATCGGCAGGTACGGCCGTAGAGCGAGGTGAAGGTCCATGGCGGCGATAGCTAACAGGACGCAGGCAGAGCGGTGATAAGACGGCAGGCGAGAGAAGAGCAGAAGAGGAAACGCCATCTTGGTAGTGGGCAGGCCGGGCGGAAACGCGCCAGGGGGGGTGAAAGATGCCAAGACGGAGGGAGCTGCAGGCCGAGGACCTAGCCAGCGCGCTACGGCACCTCGACGAGGAGTGGAACGGACCAATGGCATCACAGGAACACCAGTCCAGTCAGATAATCTCAGACCACCCAAACCGACCGACTGCTCCGGCCGGTCGGTCTGTCTGTTAACCACACCGTCAGAATGGCTTGGTCAGAACACGATACTCAACATAGTCCTCGCCGTCAATATGAACGATACCATGCCCCACCCCTTTCGGTAACACCCACCTTTCGGTAGCGCATTAGAAAATATCCCCACCAAAAACCATCAATTTCACTTACACCGATTCCAACCAGCTTTGAAGATATTCACAAGCCGTCACTTGGAGTAGATAGAGGATTGATTGAATTCTACTTTTCGATGGTTGAATGTTTGTACAGGGATCTGTGGCCTGTGCGTACCTTGCACGCGAAATTACCATCCAACCCCCTAATCTCCTTCCGCCTCCTGACGATGATTCTTCTCGTTATTCCTCCACCACATGACCAAAATGACCTTAAAGCGGCCTCAGGTATTTATACGGAGGATATTATAGCTAATGCGATAACTGATGTCACAAAAACGGCTTGTCGCAGTACCGCGCCGCCCAAAAGTATGACATACCTCAGCAGTCTATTTCCGACAGACTCAAAGGCCAGGTAGCCCTGGCTGATCAGATCCAGCCTCGTCAACTCTTGAGTAAGTCTCAGGAAGCTCGCTTGGTTTCTTGGATCCTCCGCCAAGAGTCTCTCGGCTATGCTCCCTCCCACAGTCAGATCCGCGCATGTGTGGAGGCTGTTATGAAGCAACTGAACAACGAGCGGACAGTGGGGCGCAACTGGGTCTCTAAATTCATCAATCGCCATCCGGACATCAAGAACAAGCGTGGGAGACGTCAGGAAGCTAATCGATTTAATGCTTTTACGCCTCGGGCGGTTCACTGGTTCTTCGATATCAGGAAAAGGAGTATGGATGGATTAAACCAGAAAATACCGTGAATGTTGACGAAGGCGGTATTATGTCTGGCTTTGGTGAGTATTTGGCTTGTCTTTCATTACTTTTACTAACCAGACTCTTTTGCCAGGTTTGGATAGTCTTGTGGTTGGGAGTGCAGACCCAAAACGGAAGGCCCTTCTGAAAGGGCCACAGTCCCGCAACTGGACCTCATTTATTGAAGCTATCACCGCGGACGGCCGTGTCCTTACCCCTGGCATTATCTTTAAGGGCAAAGAACTTCAGAAACAGTGGTTCTTGACGGAATTCGGCAAAATAGCCGACTGGCATTACATAACGTCGCCCAACGGATGGACGGACAACCATATCGCTATTGAGTGGCTTGAGGAGGTCTATTTGCCCCAGACGCGACCAGCCGATGCCTCAGATGCTAGACTGATCATATTAGATGGACATGGAAGTCATGCAACGGTGCGTTTCTTTATCCACCTCTGTAGGAATTACTGTTAACCGGGACCAGGATGCATGGATGGCCACATGCTTTTTGAACAACGTTTATTGCTGTTACCTTCCTGCCCACTGCTCTCATGGCCTCCAGCCGTTAGATAACGGTGTATTCAATGCCTCCAGGGCAGCTTACCGGAAAGAACTTCAGAAATTGACCTGCTTGACCGATTCTGCGCCTGTTCATAAGGTCAATTTTATACGGGCATATGCTAAAGCGCGCGAGGTTGGAATGACGGCAAAGAATATATTGTCCGGCTGGAGGGTCACTGGGAATTGGCCGATCTCACGATCCAAGGCATTGCGGCATCCAGAAATTCACGCGGACATTGTAGAGACGTCTCCAAAGTCCGCGCCATTTTGGGTTCTGATGATACGCCAAGAAACAGCCGCCAGATTCGCGATTTCGGAAAGAACAAGACTCCTGGCACCCGGAGACGATACGCCGTGATAGCTAGAGGCTTTGAAGCCAGAACAGACGCTTGCCGAGCACAGCAACAGAATCGCGAAGCTAGAGGAAGAAGTGGCCCGGCTGCAGAGAGGCAAGAAGAGGAGAGCAATTCCGAACCCGAACAGACGGTTCATGACTCTCAGTGCAGCTTTGGTGGCTGAGGAAGCCATTCCCAAATTAAAAGCCAAGAGACAGCCGTTGTGCTGAATTCTGACACAGAGGAGGAGGCGGTCTCAGAGGTGGAGACAGCTTCAATGATCGAAGTCAAGGTGGCACGAAGCCCTTCCAGTCACCACCAGATCCGGGCGAATGGTAAAAAAGCGCCGGTACATATAAGAGCGTCCATTTCTCTACGGAATGATATATTTTTTGTGTTTATAATGTTAAGTTCTGATCATATTTCATGTAGTTCAAATGGTAGACTTTTGGTGGAGAATTTTTCAAATGCGCTACCGAAAGGTGGGTGTTACCGAAAGGGGGGTGGGGCATGTAGTTCAAATGGGGTGACGAATGGTAACGTTGGGATGCGGTAATTTATCATGCATTTATTTGCCTGGGGCATCAAAGTCCAACATGGTTGCTGCGTGGCATCTACGGGGCAGGAGTCTTGGTGCGGTCCCACCAGGGAAAGAAGCGCTCGCCCTCGGCCAGAGCATAGACGGTGCAGGCCGTCTCCTCGCAGCCCTGAAACGGCTGCGTGTTCCCCCACCACTCGATCTTGATGCCGGCCCACTGGACCGAGAAGAGCATGATGATGGCCGAGATGGCTACGCCCGCCGAAAACGACGCCGACAGCACGAAGTTGTACTTGGACCACAGCGCCAGGTACCGCCCGCGGATGTAGATCCACGAGAACCACGCGACGGGCACGGCCGGCCACGCGTACGAGAAGCTGTAGGGCGCCCACTGCAGCGACCCGGCAATGGCGGCCACGACATGGATCTGCCGCAGCGCCCGCGAGTTGGGCCACATCTTCTTGAGCCCCCATACGGCCGTGACGAGGACGATGCCAACCGGGAACCCCATCAGCAGCCACTTGTACTGCCCGTTGATGCCAAATACCTTGACGGGGCCAATGGTTCCCCAGAGGACAGAGGCCGTCATGAATGTGTTGGGGCCGGGACACAGGAACCTCATGGGCGCAGCCGTTGTGCGAACGTTCTTGATGTCCATCTGCGCAAATCTGAGTGCCCGTGACCGGCGGCTTGTTTGGGTGGCAACGTACCTGGAATTTCATGACTCCCGTACAGATGAGAGTCGAAATGAGCGTGGCAAGCATTTGTCCGACAAAGGTGACACGGGAGGATCTGCCAATCATCAGTTCCTCGGCATGGCTTCCAGCACCACGGCTTCCGGCACCATGGCTTCCGGCCTTACCTTGACGTAGTGAGCAAGCTTCAAGTCGTTGGCAAAGGAAATGGCGTGGGCACAGGTCACGTAGCTGGGGCCCAACGTCAGATTTTCAGCTCATCGTTTGCAGCGATGGGAGACGCACCCATACGACTTGAAAAAGTTCATGGCCAGCGCATTCCCCTCCACAATCACGCCGCCGATAAACTCGGCCAGGACGTTGAGGGTAATCTCGATGCCCGTCATGCTGACCGTCACGCCAATGGGGATGACAAAGATGAGGCACAGGGCGATGCCGTACAGGACCACGGCTGGCGAGGTGTACGTAGGCCACAGGGCGATGCCGAGGACGCCAAAGACGACCGAGATGACCAAGATGCCAAAGTACCACCACTCGGAAACTGAACAAGCTTGAGCAATTGTGCAAGGGTGAGCAGTCGCGGGCAACAGTACCTTCGGGATACGCCGCCATCAAGCGGTTGTGCACATCCGAATACGCCCCCTCGGATCTCTGCTCGTTGGCCGTCTCGGTCGTCGCCTTCTTCTTGCGGAAGCGAAGGCCGCGGAAGAGGTTCCGGAAGCCCATTTTGATCTCGTACCGCTGGTGCAGGATGACGTGCGTCAGGATGGCCGTGTAAATGGCAAAGAACCAGCCGTAGAGAAGCGCGTTGGCGGCGCCCATGTAGGGGGCCGAGTAGTTCGTGTACTTTTTTAGGTCAAACATGCCGTGCTCGTCGAGGGCGCGCGAGACGTTGTACATTTTGCCAAAGTGGTCGTACACACGGTTGGTGTTGATGGGCAGGTAACCCGTGTTCCAGACATTTGTAAACCACACGGCCAGGACAAAGAGGCCGGTGATGAACATGCCGGCCACGGCGTTGAAGGTCGTGAATGACGGTACCATCTGATTCTGCGTCAGAATGAATGCGTATCGACTTGATTTCTTGAATTGACTTACCAGAGGGTCGGTGTTGAAGCAGATGACGTTCCAGTCCAAGGTCGGGATGGGGTTGAACAACTACCAGCGTCAGCATTTTCAGCGGGCCGCTGTCCAAGAAGAAATCCTTACTCCAAGTCCGTTTTGCATGCCAGTCAGGATATTCAGTTTGATATTGTCCGGCGCGATCCAAGTCATCCAAGTAAAGTACGACAAGGCCTGGAAGATGTAATTGGGAACCAGAAGTAGACAAACATGGCCGCAAAGGTAACGAGGAAAAAGCGATAGCGCGACATGGACCATGTCTTGTTAAAAGGGCCCAGAACGGGCTGGTTGGATTCCTTGTGCAGCGCCGTGTTGAGGGCAATGGTGACGAGGGACATGGGCCACACGCAGTATGACGGGTAGACGAGAAACTTTCTTGTCAAGCCAGCAAGACCGTAGCCCAGGAAGTTGGTCGCAAAGGCATTGGTGAACATGTAGCCAAAGTTGCGCGCGTACTGCTGGTTGAAATACTGCGGCAGCACCTGGGTCCAGATGATGTAGTTTGTATACGGCAGGCTCCTGGACGTGTTGGCCATGATTGCAATGAGCATGTGTTCCTTTTTGTTGAAGGGGCCCGGGTTTATGTTGATCTTGGTGCCCGTAAACGGAAGGGCAAACTCGTACCGGGGCATCCAGCGCTCCCAGGCCTTGCCGAGGGGAAAGGCGAGAAGCTGGGCAATGTTTGTGTCAAACTTGATGGCCGGCTGGCGGATGGAGAAAAGCTGGTTGACAAAGGACAAGAATACGCTGAACATGCAGCCCAGGGTCCAGGCACGAATCGTCGACACGGGCATGCTAGGGTCGTCGTGGTTGTCGACGACGGCGCGGACCTCGGCATAGGGCTGTTGTGCGTAATGATGGCCGCCTCGAGCTTCATTTCCTCGACAAGCTGCTCGTGCTTTTCGGGGTGTGCCATGATATCGTCGTTGGCTGGTCGAGATTAGGAGGATATCAAGTAGATCGATCGACTATGCTGTCTTACCAAGAAACTCTTTAATGTTTTGGATTGTCAGGTAAGGAAAGTTGGGATCACCATCGTGAATTGCCAGTACGTTGGTCATCAACTGACTTTCATGTTAATGATATTGGAATGGACGTGTTGAGATGAGGGCGCTTACCGCGCGGACACTCTCGAGGCTCATGGAGGCAGCCAGCTCTTTGGCTTCGAGGACATCATCCTCGGTGGCATTGAGGTGTCTATCGACTTGAGTTAGTCTTTGGCAGTCACAGCGTCAAGAAACTACATACGACTCGAGGGCGTGGGCGTGTTCCGTTTCAATATCTTGTCCATACTATGCTTCTGTAAGTGAAGTCATCAATACGCTTGGAGGTCAACACTGACAACCTTCTCCACGACAGTTTCATCGTGACCCCTTTTGAAGACGCCCTCGTCTTGGGACTGGGCGTCTCCGCCAGACCTGGGGTCATTTGACATGGCTGCTTCCATGTCGTGCAGTGTCGAAGCTGTGTGAGGAGCAGACTCGAAGGCTCTGATGGCGCCCTGACAGAATAACGTGGGTAAGACAAAGGCAGCGATGCGTCGCCTTTTACATGTGAGCTACGATACTGTGCAACCAACACGAACCATGACCAGCTTCTCAACTTGGCAATCCTTGTCCCAGACGTCGGGTGGGCGGCTTTCGGAAGGTGGCGAGCGGCCATGCTCCCTCATGCAACGACGGGAACTTTGAGGGCGGCCGGGGTGGCTTCGAGTGGACTGGCTGAATGGACACTCTTCTCCAATGGACAATCGGCGATGGACAAAGATGCTTCTTAGTACACACACGAGGCCATGCTGCCAAGGCGAGAGTTGTGGGCAGACTAACGCGCCTCGACGGCCAAGCGGATGGTCCAGGCGCCGAGAGAGCATGCCACTGGAATGTAACCTGGCGGCTAGGTCGGTGGCGACTACGGTCTTTCGAGGAGCAACAGCATTCATATGAAGAAGAAAAGGCCCTTCGATGTTGCTGGATTGTCGAAGTCAAGGAGACAAGCACACAAGTAGAGCCAACACCAAGGAGCTAAACAAAGGAACTTGTCATGACAGGTTGGTCCTCGCAGCCATGCCGAATAACGGGCCACAAAGTGCAGATAGTGTACCTGCTGAAAACCAACTGAAAACGTTTCGTCTACCTGGCGAGGAGACCCCATCATCAGGAGGCGCAGGTTGGGACTGGACATGGCTATGGAGGAACAGCCACGCCACAGAGTGAGAGGAACTGATTGGGAAGGACAAGATCTTGACGCCAAGACTCGTCGATGGTCTGGGACCTTGGCCCAGACCGGGTCCAAGGCTAGGGGAGGCGTGCAATCAGCCTGTGTCTTGCACGGGAAACTGTGATTGAGTGCCATGGCCAGCTAGATATTGTCTTGGCACGTTTTAGTGCACGCGTGGTCTTGTGACTTGTTTTGAATAACGGGGGTGTTTGAATCAACACTACGGAGTACACTAGCAAAAGTGTCACTGACCGGGAAAAGTACGCACTTGGCTAGTAAACTATTGTACGAGTACTCGTCTGATATGCGGGGAGGTGTCACAACCCAGGGTTCTAGATGATGCCCGAATAGGAAGGTTACAGCGAATAGCAATATGGCAGTCAAATCGGGCAGGGCGAAGCCATTGAGGCTCGCAGAGATCTGTGTACGCCTGTCAGTCAATCCGCTTGATCTTGCAGAATCGACCAAGGAAATTATCATGACATTTTTGGGTGGATGCTCGACTCGCATCCAAGGATTCGCAGGAGAAGCAACGTGCATGCCTACAACAGAGTTCATTTCCAGGTGTATCGGAAACCTGTTGGAGCTTGATTTCAGCAAGCTAGCGAGCGACGAGATCAATGACGCGAGTTTTGTCTAAATAGGCAAGTTGTGTCTTGCCCCGTTCTTCACTCTGTTTCGTCGTGATTGTGCTCCTTGCAAAAAGATGGCAGTAAGCCGATTTTCCGAATCCAGTCGAAAGAAACCCACCTGATGGACTCAATGCAGATTTGGCTTTATCGAAAGGGAATGCCTGTGGTGGATGGAATATTGACTATATTATATATTCAAGGAGCGAGATCCATCTCAGAACATGCATCCGAGTTCCATCAGTCCTGCACGACGGGTAACGACTACATGTCGCCATGCCCAAGCCCAGCGTGTTTCCCCATCAGTGGCGACGCCGGCCCCGAAGCTGCTGAGCTTGCGTAGGCGTTTAGTGGCCGCGGCGGCAGCGGACGGAGCTGACTCGGCGGCGGGCGATGTTGCGGTTGTCGGAAGTGTACCTCCGAGACGAGCCTTGGCAGCCACGACGACTGCGAAGCCTGAGTTAGCATCCAGACGAACTTTGGCGGCGCAGATGCGTCTTCAGAGGGGAGTGGGGAACATACTCGTACAGAGTGCAAGAGTCGCGCTCGCGGCGGTCAATGTTGATCGACTGGACGTCCTCGCGGCTGGTTTTGACACTGTCAGCGCCGTCGAGACCGGAAAGAGGAAGGATGCCCTAATCGAGGGGCGGCTTACAGAGAGCCGTGGAGGTTGATGCATCGGCCTGATTCCCGGTCGCTGATGGTCTGCCTGGCTCCGCGGTAGTTGGGTTGGCTGTAGAGGATGCCCAGGTACGGGGCCCGGGCCACGTGCTGGTGCTCCTCGGGCTCGCCGGGATTGGCGGCCACCAGGGCGGCGAAGGCGAGGGCGAACTTGGTGAAGAGCATGGTGGTTTCTTTCGAAAAGTGGACTTGACGGCAAAGGAAGCTGTTGGGATTTGAGATGAAATCTTGGGTCGAGCTGGTAGGCTTGGGGATTGACAACAAGGACGACGGCCAGCGGCTTAAATACATAGGAAGTCACTTTAATTAAAGAGGTGGAAGGACCTAAGGACAGAAACTTGATCACTTGCATCGTCATTAGCGAGAGCAGGGGAACTCTCGCCTGCCGGCATGTCTTGATGGGAATACCCAGAATAGAAGCATTTCAGCTGCCAAGCTGCATCGTGGCAATAGTCGCCGCGGCTGAGGCTGACAAGGCGAATAGATGTTCAGCAAACCTCGTCTGTCTGGCGGCGAGTGCCTGGTGCCAGACTTAAACACTAACGGGCTGCCAAGAAATGGTGAGAGGTGAAAATAAGCAAGATCCAGTGTCGCAGGAGCCGTCCGTAAGGCTCAGGGCCAGAAACCCCATTGGATACCCGTTTTGCTGACACCGGCATCAATGCTGGGTCGTCCAGAGCCCAGACCGTCTGGCTCCCTGAGCAGGATTAAGCAAGCCGACAACGGGGCCACAGGGCTGCAGTCAGCGCGCGTCACTCATGTTTAGTTTTCTTCACGCCTCGTCACATATCATGACGGCTGGAAAGATTAAAATAGCTCCTGCGCCCGGGACGTACATTATAAGCAGGAGGAGCCGTTCTGGCGTTGCCATTGGCTCGCCCAGGAGGACTCTTTTGATTTGCTCTATCCGCCCTCCTATACTGTTGTAATTTCATACATTGCTGCTGACAGTGCTGAGTAGATCTCGCTCGGTCCGTACTTGCCAACATGATTCAATACGAGATGGTCAGTTCATCGTCTGGCCGCGGAGTTCTTGAAAACCTCACGGACCATGATGCGAGCCACGGAACTGACGCTCCGCCAATGGAACCGGGGCGGCCTGGGAAAGAAGCACGAGCGTGCCGTGTCTCATGTGCCCCCCCGGCTCGTCGAAAATCTTACGTGCTTTGGTCCGCTGTCGGCTCTCGCTCTGGTTTGCTGCATGTATCCCCAAAAGCAAGCAAAGCCCGTGCTTACCGCAGGCGGCGGGGGCACCGTCGGCACGGATTGTCCCCCATTGAGGAATCTGGCGACACAAGATCTTCCGCAGAGAATCCCCGAGGGTTGACAAGCGGAAGATGCGCAGTTCTTTATACACAAATGAAAGGTTTGTTGCCTGTTTAGGCAGTAAACTGCTGCTAGATAAGGGATTTTCCGATGATCTGCCGGATCTGGTGATCTGCCGGATTGCGGCGACTTCGCACGCTCAACATCAATCGACAATAGCTCAACAACAACGGTGCCAATTGACGTATCCTTTGATTTCCTGAATCATGAGAAGCAGTGAAAGTCTGGCATATATTTAGAACTTTTATCTAGGCGGCGATGCGCTGCGGTGCTGATATCAAACCAAGCAACGGCCAAAATAGGATGCCGACAGATTGTGTAAGTCATTTCAGCCAACACAGCAAAAACAGAACATTATTGGCTTTCATCGTAGGCTTTAATCATGTGGGATTATCCCCATTCTATCCATAGTGCAGAACTTGGCTCAGGATACTGCCAAAAATGGGGGTTGGAAGGGCGAGCTGGATAACTTCATTCTACGCACCCGTAATGAGCCAGATTGAACGTGATTCGACGGTACAAGCATCTTCTGAAAAGAACCTATCTATGCATCTGAATGTAAGGTTTATTTTTAGCTTGAAATTCAGTGCGCGAGGCTCCACTTTCACACCTGACAAGGAAAGACGTGCACGAAAATTGAGAAATTCGACACCCTACCCTAAAACACGTATAACATGGATGAAATGGGCTTTCTATTCCTTATGAGCATTTGAACGAACAGGGTATTCCTCTTATTATAAAAAACAAGGCAAAATTGCTCGGCGTATTAAAAAATGGCAACCCATCCTCCATTACGTTCAAGATGTGCGTCAGTCAAGAGATGGCATCGCTGCCCCCATTTCTCATCCACCAAGACAAGCCAGCACAAACTCTGGACTTTTGGTTCGTGAAACGTGAATCAAGTCGTCAATAAATATTTTTAACACGTCAAAAACGAGGTGGACGAATCACAATATTGAAATGAGCAGCTCACCGGTACGTTCGACCGGTTTACCAGGGCGAAAGCTCGAAACGGTTGTGCTTATCGCCTTTGGTTCCCGATGGCCACTTAACCATTTTAGTATCGAATTTATGGAGTGGTGTGACCGGCACCGACTGATCGTTGTGGTGTTTCCCCTCAATCCATTCATCGGCTGCAACCCTTGATGTATCGTTATTCAGCCTCTCTCAACAGCGTATACGCATGATCTTATCCAGTACACAGACAAATCAAAAGTTTCATTGGATTGCTGAAATCGAAGATCTAGACTGTGTTTTGGAACGCTTTCAGGAAGTAGTCGAGAAGTCCTCTGTTGATGCTGGCCGCAACAGCCGAAGGCTGAGCAGCACCCTCAGGAGCCCTCAATATGAGTTTTAAGTGCTTGATATGAGAGTTAAAGTATGCAGAGAACAAGTAGTCACAAGAACCAGCGCAGGCAGACCGGTAAGGCTTCAAAAGATGATCTCTTCTGCTGTACAGATTCTAGTGCAGACGAGGTGTTTAGCTTTAAAAATGTGGCTCAAGCTCGCCAAAAAATGACAGTGAAAGGACTCCAAAGAAAGAGGAGGCTCTGAAGAAGGAGGCCAAAGCTTCAGCGACAGCAGAAGGCAGCGGAGCAAAGCTCTCGCTCTAGAGAGAGGAAGCAATGAGAGGCGGAAATTGGGAGAAAACGACGGATGACGGAGGCCGTGAAGCAAAATAAGGAGGTAAATTGGCATTATTAACAAGAGCTGAAGATTTTGAAAGTGGAAAAGCCACAGAAAATGCAGAATGACCGACGGGTGGCTTCTGAGGGTCGCGAGAGGAGTCAGGATGTTCACGCTGCAAAAATTGTCACTCTTCCGTTCACACCAGAGCGGGCCATAGCATTGCAGGTACCAAACAGACTATATAATAACGCAAATAACAAGGCAATGATAACTTCAAACGACATATCCTGTCCTCAAAGGCCCTCTTTAGCTGTTGATAGTGATCGGGAGGCAATGGGTGCATTTCGGGGACTTGCGCGATCGGAGAGTAACAGAAGACGACCTCGATGGCTGGATGACTTCAAAAAAATTGAGTGACATCTTTGAGCATTATTAACTGCTCTTATAAAATTTTAGAACAATTCAAATAGTATTCGTGAAGTTATTCTCAGTTCTTTGCTGGAATGCAATGAGCCCAAAATCCGGCGAATCGCCAGATCCGGCAGATCACCGGAAAATCCCTTAGTGCTTCTGCAGGAGCGGATCTACAAGGCGTGGAGAATGGGCAGAGTGCTAAGGGATTTACCGGTGATCTGCCGGATCCCGTGACCCGCCGGACTTACACGCCGCCACGAGCTCGACATCAATCCACAATAACTCCACAGCAACGGGGCTCGATTTTCCCAAATTTAAAATGCGACGAAAATGCAATTGTAATATATACATCATCCTGTTTCACAGTCCTTAAGCCACTGTGGTCGCTTGCTATTCCGCTGCGGGCGTCCCGAGCTCCGATATGCCACTACCATCTCCCGATCACTCTCAACAGCTAGAGAAGGTCGTTGGGCACGAGCTGTCTGGTCTGGCGGAATCCTTACCTTCTTTACTAACCCGTCCTTTGGCTGATCTGGCGGCTGCGATGTTACCGGAAGCTCTGGGGTTGGTGGAAGAGCGACGACTATTTCGTCTAGAGTCCCTGGACTCTTCTCTCGAGCTTTAGAAGGCACCCGCTGGGGCCGCGGCTTCTGTTGCGCACTTTCCCGGCTTATACCTTTGAGATCGTCTCGAAGTTGTCGACTGGCCGCTTTCTCTTGCTTCTTCGCTTCTTTTTCCTGCAATTTTCGCTCCTTTTCTCCTCTCGCTGCTTCTTTCTTTCCAACGCCTCCTCTTTTCCCTCCGCCTTTTCTGTCGCTGAACCCTCTGGAATTCCCTCTGGATTGCTTCCTCTTTCTTCTGGACCTCCATCGCCGCTTTCTTCACTCGAGCTTGAGCCACTTTTGCGGGCTGAAGACCTGAGCAGAGTTAGGATCCGTACGGTCAAAGAGATAATCTTTCAGAGCTGTACCACGCTGCCTGCGCTGTTTCTCATGAATTATAGTCTCACGGAGTCCCTTGTTCTCATATCTAAGCAGCTCAACCTCGGATTGAAGGCTTTCAAGAGTGCTCTTCAGCTTCTGAGCACTGACTTCAGCATTGGCGGTGGATTTATCGACCACTTTGTCGACAAGCCGTCGTAATTCTCGAGCGGTAGGTTGCTGCAATGCTAGGAGTCTTCCGAATCGCTGCCTGCATCGGAATCGTCGTATTCCTTCTTCACAATCTGTGACAAGACGACTTCGGAGTCCAAAGGCAGGAGGCCGGTCCGCATCCACCCGCTTGCAATGTTCTCCGGGGAGAAGGACGCCTCCAATGCGTTCCAAAACAAGGTCCAGAATTCGCGTTTGGACAGCCCAACAAGTCCTTGTGTTTTTGCCATCCACCGGATAAGCTGATTTGTATATGCCGTCGACAAGGGACCGAATAGAGATACGTCCAGGGGCTGGAGCCGATGAGTAGAATGAGGGGGAAACACCGCAACGATGATCCGATGCTGGTCACACCACTCCAGAAAGTCCATATTAATATGGCTCGAGTGGCCATCGGTAATGAGAAGGCGATAATCGCGGCCGTTTCGCGCCTTTGCCTTAGTAAACCGATCAAAACGAACACAAGCCACTCTTTTCCAAGCTCGTGGTTGGTCCAGCCTGTATCTGAGGTCGTAAAGAAGGCTGATTGATGCTCTGGGTCAAATTCCGTAAGCCAAGCATCCTGAACTTGTCCTGGCTTGCCTTGGTAGATGAGAAAGGAGGCAGCGATGTCATGTCCTGACAGATGCAAGCTACGAACGTGATCCAGGATCGATTGCCATCTTGCGATGCACCGAGCAATTTGCCTTGCTTTTTCTGATTGAGAGAGAACACTCTCTTAGTTCGGTTGATGATACCCAAGAGAAAGCCTTTTTCGTCCATGTTATACGTGTTGCAAGGGGCGATGTCGTATTCCTCAATTTTTGAGCGTATCTTCTACCGTCAGCAACGGAAATGAGATGCTGTGCATCAACGTACCAGCTCAAAATAATCTTTATACCTTGAAGCACTGTCGGCTCTCTTTCGCGCCACATCAAATCCATCGAACCAGGTACAACCAAGCTCGTTACGATGGCGATTGACGAAGCTATACGGCCAGTTCTTTCCGACCTCCATTTTCGCCATATCCTGAGCGAAGTTCTTGATCATAGACAGCGTAGGCGGGATGCCACGTGACGAAAGCTTATGAATATAAGCAACAAGATCTAGTTCCTGCTGTTTTGACAGTCGAGATTTATAGAGGGAGTCCGCATCGCGTCTTGAGCGCTGTTTGCCTTGATGGCGGCGGCGCAACGTGGTCTCATCGCAGCCAAATTGGCGAGCTGTTTCAGCGTAATTGACCGATTCTGAGGACTTCAGGAAAGCAAGCGCTTCGTCAATAGCCGCCATGGTTGTTGAGATGTTCCAGATTGATGTTGAGACAGAATGTCGGTGTATGTATGTGTATTTCACCCGGAGGATTTCTCCTATAGGGCCTAGACGTAAAAGCTACTGACATTTCAATACATTAATGCGTAACACCTTAAGCCCCACGGGTCAGCATACGCTACACCAACCTCGCCGCTACTCGCTCCGTGACAGGCCTGCTTGAAGGCCAATTTCTCCAAGTGTTCAGCGTCCTACCTTCAGCAGCTGAAGCGCGGTCTGTCGAAATCGAAGTCGAATACCTGTGTGTTAGTATTGTTGAAGGTTAGTGCCATAATCGATCCTAAGTGGATTCTCACTTCCGCTGCTTAGCCCGAAGGGCCAGACGCTGCCTGCGTCTCATCCCCAGGGTTCCGCGCCCGACAGTTCCGGCTGTACGATTCGTGTGGTCCACCGCAGGGCACGCACTGGCACTGTCTCCTTGCATTCTCTGTGGTGATGTTCTGCTTTCGCGCATCTGCCACATCTTTGCGGCTTCTTGCATGAAAACGGCTTGTGTCCCATCTCTTGACAGTTGAAGCACTGAATCGGTCCTACGCGGCGTTCAAAAACATTGGTGCAGGCGGACTCTCCCGCAACATCGAACCACACGCCGTCCAGAAGTCTTTGCGCGTCACTCTCTTTAGTGACATAGATCACCATTGACCCGTACGCTTTGGCTTTCTCTGTTGCTAAGCCAGGTGATCTTGGCAATCGTGACGTAATTCTCGGCTCCGAGCGCCTCAGCTGCGCCCGGCAGAACGTTGCCTTCGGCGTCCAGCACTGCGGTACGCTTGGTGTTGTCGACTTTGACAGGGTAAAGCTGATCTCTCAGTACCCTGGCTCCCGAAGTTACCGTCTTCTGCGCTGCTTCCTTGACCTGCTTCAACTCGGTTTGGTCTCTGCATAAAATTTTGATCCGGTCGGGGTTTCGAGCGTCTGTCACGACCGCTGCGCATTTCCAAGTCTCCTGCCTCTGACTCTTTCTCATGTCGCTCTCTATGGCTTTTCGGATGTTGCCGATCTGCGTCTGGCACCTGTTCGCTTCTTCGACTCGTGATGTGTCCACCGTACAGTAGAGACTATCGCTGACGGCTGTTCGTGCCGATTTAGCTGCTGGTACGGTGCCCCGGTTCATTGTCTGGATCGTCGGCGATGGCCCTGCAGCGCTCGCATACGACATCTGCGGACTGCTCTGCAGAGAAGATGCGGGCGTAGCCAGGGTCTCTAACTGCGCTCGGATGTGACGAAGCTCATCTCTCATCTCTTTCCCTTGTCGGTAGTAGTAGTAGTAGGATTTATTTCGCCCGGAGGGAGGTCCCTATAAGGCCTTTACACTGTCTAGAGTACAGTTCAACACGTTTGTTCCTTGACTCCCCAAGCCCCACAGATCATCTTACGCTGCGCCAACCGTACCACTGTTTTCGCTTCATGACAGACCTGCTTGAAGGTCAATTTCTCAAGTGTTCAGCATCCTATTCCCAGCAACTGAAGCGCGATGTGTCGAAGTTGAAGCGTGGTTGTGTTAGTCATTGATGGTGGTTGGTACGCCGATTGTGTTTTCTCATGACGCTGTTCGCTGTTGACGGGCGGGAACCCGGGTGTGCCCTGTTCGCCTAGGGGTGCCTCCAGCCGGCTTCGAACCGACCCCTCTGCGACGCAGAGGCTCTAGACGTGTCACCACTACGCCATGGAGGCTCCCTTGTCGGTAGTAGTAGTAGTAGTAGGATTTATTTCGCCCGGAGGGAGGTCCCTATAAGGCCTTTACACTGTCTAGAGTACAGTTCAACACGTTTGTTCCTTGACTCCCCAAGCCCCACAGATCATCTTACGCTGCGCCAACCATTCCACTGTTCGCCCCACGACAGACCTGCTTGAAGGTCAATTTCTCCAAGTGTTCAGCATCCTATTCCCAGCAACTGAAGCGCGATGTGTCGAAGTTGAAGCGTGGTTGTGTTAGTCACTGATGGTGGTTGGTACGCCGATTGTGTTTTCTCATGACGCTGTTCCCTGTTGACGGGCGGGAACCCGGGTGTGCCCTGTTTCACCAGGGGTGCCTCCAGCCGGCTTCGAACCGACCCCTCTGCGACGCAGAGGCTCCAGACGTGTCACCACTACGCCATGTAAGTCCGGCGGGTCACGGGATCCGGCAGATCATCGGTAAATCCCTTAACCTACTGGGATGCACTAGCGTATCACAGAGCATGGACCAGACGGGAGGAACGTCATCTGGCTATGGAAGCTGAGTGCGATCGATAAGAACTAGCGTAGGATTTTGAGAGTGACAGGTCAGTCTGCAGGTCCAGGCAGCATGCAAAACACATGTCTGTAGGTTAGTTGGTTCCCACCAACTGGAGCAACCCCTACGTACATACATTCGATGCGTAGCACGTGAATGCGGCTCGCTGTGCCTCCCTTCCTCGCTCCACCTCTTATTGCGAAGCGGCAGTTGGGGCAGTATTACTCGTCTTCGCTTATCGATATGGAAGCCAAATAGCTCACGACTGTCGCCCGGTTCTAGTTCAAAATACGACATGCTCACATGTAGACGCAGTCTTCGCCGAAACGGGAACCATGCGCCTCGTATATGCGTATGACTCCGTTACTAGTTGCAAGGCCGCAACAAACCAAGAACCAACAACCGGCCTTTAAGACCAATCGGAGGTGTCCCGCCCCTGTAGGGCCTTCACTGCCTACCTAACCATTATCCTTCAGCACGAGCGTGCATTTCCATAACCTGCTGCTATAGGTGTTAATAATACCACTGCCTACCAATCAAGCCTGAGCAGCTGCGTCTCGGGCTTGCTATGGTGTCGTGCAGCCGTACAATTCAACTACCTACCGATTATTTCGAGCGCCGTTTTTGATCAAGTGTCATGAAAGCATCAATGGATAGGTTCTGCCGTAAGAGATGAATGTACGGCTCACTGTTGTTGGATACTTACCTGTGATTGTCGAGGGTTTAAAAATGGGCCACTACAGTTTTACCCTACTTAAGCAGCCTGGTGTGACGAGTGAGTCTGCGTGCATCTCGTGCAACAATTTCTAGGTTCTCGGGATCTGTTGGAGATGAAGTGTGACTGTTGGTCGAGAAGCATTGAGGAGGGGGGGGGGGGCAGAACGGTATCAAGAGAGAAACAGTGTTGGAGCTGCTGATGTAGGTGTCGAGTACTTATAGGCGTCGGCTGGAGACGTTTGATCTCTTCATCTCTTCTACTCTGTTCACTTATAACGATGTCAGACGCCTATCAGTATCAAGTACAGCAGAGTGCTGTGGCGGATAACTCGCAAGATTGCAGTTTGCTCCCGCAGCAGTATCCGGCCTTGCAACGCCATCCCTACCCTTACCCCCGTCAGTATATAAACCACGTTCCACAACAGCACTCTGAACTCCTGTTCAACAGCAGCACTCTGAGTCCCCTGCTCAACAGCATCCTTCATTTCTGCCGCCAGGCATTATGCAAGCTTTCACCTCTAGCCTTCAGTACGTATTCTACCTTGCGTGAGTATGTCAATCGCTGATGGGCCTACGTAGAGGTCAAGCTGGGATCCCTGGTAGCCAGCTTCAGTGCACGGATTCTCTTGGCATCATGGCTGGGGATGAAACCAACTTCTCGAATATAACACGTACCCACTTCCATGGCGAACATAGCAACGATTGGAACATTTACCACACCGACAATATCGATAACGACGGAGCGCTAGGCTCAGCGATGTGTGATCAGCGGGAAAATGATCGGCTAGGCCAACGAGGCTTATTTGAACAAAGGCACCACTCGCTCCCTTGGCCTCATCAACAGTTTTTATCTGGTGAATACCTAATCGAGGCCAAGAGCCCCGATATTTTGGCTCGCCAAGGCCAGCGAAAAAGTCCACGTAAAGGACGTCGCCGTCGGAAGCGAGCCTGACATCCTCCCGACAAGATCGTGGGCTTGACAGCGAAGAGGTCCTCAGGTATGCTTGGAACATTCCATGCAATAATCTGACCGGCAACGCAACGAACTGATCGGAAGTCGCTGACGTTTGACCAGTTCACAACGCAAAGAAGTATCTAGTTTGCGAGACGACGCAGTCAACAAGTATTGCGCGTGGCAGTGTACAAAGGTCCGAAGCTCGATCCAGAAACAAAACTATGATCTGGCACGGGGTTGACCATAGATCATGGACTTGATCTTGAGCTACTACAAATTAACCAGGACAGCGCAGTCCGGTTATATATGAGACACGGGTGGTTGAGGGCGTGGCGTTTCGCTGGGTTCATGATATTGGGGCTTTTCTAGACCAGTCTTCTGAAGGAAACAATCTCCAGCGCGAGATCATCAGTAAGAACACTCTGGGATCTGGACTTGACGATTAGGGGGCTGGCAAGCCTGTGATTTAAAAACGGAAGAAAATGTTTACAGGGCACTGGATAAAACGAGCACTGAGCCCCACTGTACAAGATTAAGGAAGATGCTCTCTGCAGATGCTTATTACTGAGCCTTGTAATGATGATCTGTGGCGACCCGACGCATCACTCTGCCCCGCGTTTTCTTATTAACAGATCTGGGGACGCTGAGCCAGAGCACCGCTATACGGTGTGTTCGGGTTTTGCGACTTCAATAGAAGAATGTAGACCAACCTCAAGGTATTTGTGGCTGTTATCAGTGTGATTTATCCGTACCTCCCGCCATATTGGCTCTATGCCTACAACTACCATAGACCGTCGAGGTACGTACATGCAGCACATCGTCCAACTCTCCCCTGTAAAAATTCTGTCCCCTGGAGAGCTGTTAGCGGCTTGCTAGCTGGGGTCAGATTTACAGCGCTTCAGCTGCGGGGTCCATCGTGGCCCTAACAGCACAGAGGGAAACCTTAGGAGAGTTCATATTCCTCTGCGAAGCCGGTCTCGACAACACGTCCACTCGGACCTCATGGCTCTCTTCGGAACCAAGGAGCTGTGGGTATTGGAAGGTCCGCCCTTCTAAACAACGGTGGCTGGCGGCGGAGGTTTTTCTCCCTGAAGGCAAGCTGCGCGACAGCCTCTGATTCCTTCTGAGGGGTTTTCCCTACCGCCGCTCCTCGCTATTTCCATCGCTTGGTTACCGGAGCATGGACTGCGGCAGCAGTCTTAGCAGCGAGCGAGATAATCCTGACCAGGAAAACCAAGGGTTGACCATTGTGGCAATTGCCACGCGCCTGGAAGTCGCGCTGACGGGAGACAGGCTTCGACAAGGAGCGCCAAAGAGCCTACGAAATGCTGGATGGACATTTCTCACGAAGAGAGCATGCAAGTGGGCATTGATTGTGTAACGATGGGTATGATTTGTTGTATTCCGTTGTGTCTGTCCCTCTTGCAATGCCCTCTTCTAGGCTCCCTATTTATATCCCTTGGTTCCCTATTGATATCCCCTTTCAGTTGTATAGGTACAATATCTAGGAGGCTGGGCTCCTTTCCCAGCCCCCTTTGCATACTGACTTTCCCTAGTCGCCGAGGGCTCTTTCAGCTTCCCCGTATATGCAGTCTCTCTACAGCCTGTGTGGCTGCCTAATGCGGTCTCCTAATAGTCTTCTGCAGCCTCAGAACTCTCTGCAGGCTGCCTTTCTGTCTAGCCCGTCGGGGCCCTTAGCTGTATACCCCGTATGGTCACCCCGAGCTCAAGATCTCAGACGTGCTTCGCGACAACATTTGGGAGGACTGGCCGCGGGGGCTCTGGTCACTTGTATTGACGTGCTCAGCGACAACCTACCGTCGGGCGTAGAGAGCCGCCTCCAGGGATCCACCTCGACAGCTTGCCTTTGGCCTTGCAGGGAGTACTGGGTGGCCTTTCGGTGGCAGGAATTTTAGATAGTCTAGCTCAGCACGTCCTGTGCCCCGTCTCGGGGACCTGAGCGGCCTGAAGGCCGCTGGACAAAAAATGCACACACACACACATGTCAAGTTCTCAACGTGTTACCCAGCCTCAAAGCACTGGCTGGTGTTATACTCAGGGAAGGGATGCCTGGCTTTTGAAACAAATTTTGGGATCATCTCGTCACGGAACAGGCTGTTTGGATAGTTGCTTCTGTAGGGCTCGTGACATCGAAAGAGCTACCATCAGAGGACGACCACTTCGGAGTTCAAATCGTCTCAATTTCAGTCGAATTCTGCGAATAGTTGCTCGCTGCAGGAAGCTATTTTCGCGATGTCAATATGTGAGCGGACGTCAAGAACGAGAGTCTTAATATGCTTGTGTTGGGTCATACAATCTGGAGGCATTTCGTTCTTGGCTTTACCGGACGATTCGAAGTGTGTCGGTGAAAGTGGAAGAAGTGGGGGAAAATTCCCCGCGACCAGCGGCGGGGGGGTCGCTACTCTACCCATCGTCCAAAGGCCAGCCAGCCGCTGTCGAATCGAGTTGACAAAGTGCCGGATACCTAGAGAACCGAGCGCTGTGCCACAGGTAAATGCTCGTGCTTTCAAGTTCCAATACGAGAAAATGCACACATGCGTTTTCGCCCCCATATACAGTATCGGTCACCATCCGAGCCCTTCCGCACAGAAGCCAAGTCGGCGGATTATGGCCGAGACAGCAAACCAACAGAACTTATCGCAAGACCGCCGAGTATATCCCTTAGTTGGGAAGCAAACGGCAGTGGTGAAGTGCACCCCCTATGCAGCTCCCAGGGTGTGCCAGCCGCTACACCAACGGCCCCGGGGAGCAGACCTGTGGAGATTTCCCTTATCCAGGAAGCCACGGGGGACTAAAGACGTGATTGCGACCGTGTTCGACCGTCCGACCTCCGTGCTGCGATATGCCAGTCCACATTATTTGTTTCGGGAGCTTCGGGTAGTTTGGTGCTGTCTGAATTCATTAAAAGAGAGAATTACACTGTGCAGTTCCGCTGGTTGGGCTAGGTCCTCACACCTCAAGAATCAAGGCTGACCAACTGCAGGGCATACCCACCTTGGTTCCCACCCCCCCACAAACCTATCGGATATTCGGACCAGATTGCCGCTGGCAGGTGCAGCACATTTGAACGCTGGAGCCTGAAAGATGTGGACAAGCGCGAAGTGTTTGCTTGCAACAGTACCCGTTGGCGGGGCCTCTGGCAGCCAACTAAGGGGCCCCTTCCCCTTAGTTGGGCCCAAAATTCCCGGACAGCCCCAAAACTCCCGGACGCGCGCCTACAGCCCCGCTATCGCAGCTGCTTCGTAATTAGTGCGCATTCCCACCAAAACACAAGAACGCGTGATGCGCAGCACGTGTTTCAATGTCTCAATACGTCGGGCTTGAGCCGACGGCCACGTCAAGGGCTGTGGAGCTAGTTATAGACTCTCGCGATGCCCTCGCACAAGGGCGGCGCCGTCAGACGCGCCGCGCGCTCCCCAACGCAGTCACAATACGGCAGGCGGCTCAGATCTTCGGTGTACCGAGCTCTACGGTACAAGACGGCGTCAAGCGGCATCCACGATGGCTTCAGGGTCGCGTTCGAAGCCGTGGCCGGCCAAGGCTGCTCTCGGACGACGAAGACGATGCCATCGCCGCCTATGTGATATGGCTACAACGCTCTGGCTTCCCAGCGAGCAAGATACAGGTCGAATCGGCCGCTCTAATGCTCCTTCAGCGCCGTAACCCCAACGCGAAGCCACCAGGCAAAAACTGGTATCGTCGTTGGCTTCAGGACCACCCAGAGCTTCGAACCACATATTTAAAGGCCGTAGAGAAGTCCAGGAAGGTATTTGAGGCCAGCGATGTGTCATACGTCGAGAAGTTCTTCTCAAGGCTCAAGGAGATCGTCAGCTCGTACGGAATCGGCCCCTCAGAGGTCTGGAACGAAGACGAGTGCGGCATCCGTATTGGAAGTCTACGAGAACACATTCACGTCGTTATAGTGCGTACAACGCGTCATCAACGCCCTCAAGTCTCTGACCCAGGGAATCGCGAGTCTTGTACGCTTATTGCCGCTGCCAACGCGGTTGGGGACACGATCCCGCCTTGGCTGGTGTTCAAGACCTTCCCTTGCGAGTCTTGGGCCGAGATCAACGCCCCCGACGATATACGATTCGCACGATCCGACACAGGCTTCAGCAACAGCGAAATAACGTTTGATTGGATACACCAGTTTAATGTATGGTCTTGGAAGCGGTCTGCCCGTGCCCAACGCACCGGAAAGACCCTCGAGGAGTGGTTTGGTATAGATGAGTGGTGTAGAGAGCCCGAATATCCCTTCCTCGAGGCGGAGCCACGCCTTATCCCGGAAAACGAGCGAATTCATCGTCTTCTCGTCATCGACGGCTTCACGGGGCATACAGGCCTCGATTTCATCCAATATTGCATCAAATTTGACATCATCGTCGCGGTGTTCCCTCCACATTCAACGCATATCCTTCAGCCGCTCGATGTAGGCGTTTTCCAGCCTCTTAAGCACGCACAGCAGAAAATTCTACATAAATTCATCGAGTCAGGGGAGCTGAACTTCACGAGGCACGATTTCCTCGAGTCTTTCTGGGAAGGGTTCAAAGAGGGCTTCGCAGCGTGTTATATCATAGGGGGCTTCGAAAAAACGGGCATCTACCCTCCCACAGAGCAGCCGGCAATGGAGAAGCTCGTGGCCGAGCAGCTGAAGGTATCACAGGCCGTTAACCCGGCGTTCGCATCGCTCCTCCCTAAGGAAACACGCTTCCAACAAGCTGCCGACACTGTACAAGACCTTCGAACGCGTTAGCACAAGATTCTAAGCTCTCCGACGCGTGGCAGGCTTTCCAACGTCTCCCAGACCGTCACAGAGGCATCTCTTCTTGGCTCTACACTGGCCAAGTACTATAGAGACCGCCTACAACGCATCGAGAAGATAAGCAGCCGCCCGAGGCGCGGCAAGGCTGTCAAGGCTGCCGAGGGCACTTTCTACACTAGCTGATGCGTTTTTGCGTGTCCCTACGCACACTGGGGCGTTGGGCACGGCACCAAGCATCAAGGACACCGGCTGCCGCACGCGCAGCCATGTGAACAGGCAGCCGTGTGAACAGGCAGCCGTGTGAAACAGGCAGCCGTGTGAGCAGGCATCGGTATGTGGCTGCCTTGTAAACCGGCCGGATCACCTAGATAGTCCGACCTGGCTGCCTCCTACATAAGGATGAAGCAGTCATAGCTTAGTTGGAGAGACAACCATCCCACTTCATCTCATTCATATGCAAAATGCATCAGATTGGTAGCAATTCCTACCCTTTGCTTTGATTAGCACCAGTGAGCCATTGTGTAAGCCTCACACCATAGCTCAAGTCTGCTTGGGCACCACACGTGAGCCGTTGACTCGGGCTCGCACCAAAAAACCACCAAAAACAACCATCGTGACTTACATAAGTCGCCCCACGAGCTTACCCAAGCTCACCACCCCCACGAGCTTAACATCCCAAAGCTCATCAATCCTTTGGCTTGCTAACCAGCTAACCTTGTGGTGCGACCGACACCCTTGACAGCTAGCAGCCAACATTTCTTCACCCTCGTGATAACGCTATAGGGTCAATACCGTTGCATTAAGGTGTCTTTCGCTCGTGACGACTTTGGTGATAGTAAGTTTTGCGAAAGCCCGTGTAATCGTATATCACTATCGCAAGTGTCAGCTGGCAAGCAAACCGACCACACAATGGCCAAACCGACCAACGAAGGAAGCTCGGTCAAGCAAGCTGACGATAGAAGCTCGCCACGCCCGGCTGAAGAAGATGATGCACCCCGGCTACCGGACGCAGTCCAGCAACGCCGCCCGAAGCGCAACAGAGTCTCTCTCAACCCCAAGGACAATCATTCGCAATTGGCAGACCAATTACAGCAGCTCCCAGAAGCTCTCAACGCGTGGAAATGGTCCATCCGATTCCTCAAGCTGATGCGAGACAAATCTAAGGAAGCTCTCGATACCTTCACAGTCCGTGACAAGGAAGCATGTGAAGCCTTGGAAGATCTCCTTTTCCACGTCTGTGCTCATCAAATCAGCCTACGCGAAGTATTGGCTGTACCACAAGCCGGCATCTCGGACCTCGAACATGTGCCTGCATGGAGAGCAGTGGTGGAAAAAGCCTATATTGTGCCGGAACCCACAGAGGACAACATGATGAAATTGATCTCGAAGATCACGCCCAAGGAAGTTGATTCGAGGTCAATGACATCAATTTGGTATATCTTCCGGATGCCGACCAACAACTTCCCACGGAACAGCGAGGTATAAATTCTCAAGCTATGTTGCAGTCAACGGAACCCCCAAAGGCGCCAACTCAGTCACAATCACCTTCAGGCGTGAGGAAGCAGAAAGGAAGCCGGCATAGCCACCACAGCCGCCGCGACCGCCGCAGTCACCACAAGCATCGCAGATACCTACGACTAGATGATTCAAGCGACTCGGAATCTTCTTCTTCCAGCAGCAGCAGCTCTGGAAGCAGCATTGGCATTGGATACGCTCACAGCCGCCGGAGCGCCTCTCCCTACCACACAGACCTTTCAAACCTCTAATGATGTGGAAGCTGTTGCCAAGAGGCTCAAACGTGACAACATGGGTGTTTTCAACCCCAATCACAAGGATCCTCATAAACAAGGCCTTGTGTCCCTCTCAAGCGGCAGCAATGTGTACACGGATGTATACCTCTTCTGCGAGCGCCTGCGAATGTACAAGGATCTCGACTCCTACGCCTTGTCGCAGCACTATATGTCTTTCCTTGCCGGCGGAGCTCTACAGTGGTTCATGAATGAACTTTCCATCGAGCAGAAGGATCGCCTTATGAAGTCATCAGTAGAGCGTTTCTGTAAAATGCTCATCAAGCGATTCCAACGCCCAGCAGCAGAGGTCTCAAGGAATTACACGGCATTCCGTATACCGTGTCAATGTGGAATGCTGGTGAAGTCTCCTTGCCTCAATGGATTCAACGGAAAGTCTCCTAGCAAGGCAAATCAACATCGAAAAGGACTACCAAATCATCCAAAGCATCCACCCCTTGATTGCGGTCCAAATCGCTACTCACCTCTCTGTGCCCACTAAACGCACGCCAATTGACAAGTGGGTACGAGAAATCGAGGAACGCCGACCCCTGATCTCCGCGGCATTGGAATTTCGCGGCAGATACGATGAACGCCCCCAAGGCCGTGACCGTGACCGCAACTACCAAAGTCGTGATCGTAGTAGTGATCGTGATCGCAGCTTTAGGAACGATAGCCGCGACCGCGACCGCAGCTATCAGCGAGATCACTACCAACGCGATCGAGGCCTTGACCGCAGAGACCGCAGCAACCCCAGCAGCGACTTACGGGCCAAGGAAGGCGAGAGAGCCGCCCCAAAGATCCTCAGCGCAATGAGCGAAGCGGCGGCTATGAGAAAAGGTCCGCTTTGAGAAAAATTACCTTGCCAGCGAGGATGAAAACAAGCAAGATGCTCCAGACGACAAGAAAACCGCCATTTCCGACAACGATCAAGCCAGTGATGTAGGATCAGACGCTTCTATCGAGGAATACTACGTCTGTATGACCTCAACTCCTGAGAATCTTGGCCAACAAGGAAACCACCAATGCCGGAAGTGTAACCGCAAGTTCCCCTCCCGCAGTGTGTTATTTGAGCACACACAAGCACGCTGCTGTGTGTCTGCTCAACAGCTCCAGCAGGAGGCGACCCCAGCAAGACCTTCGTTGTGTGGGAAATGCTACGCCCGATTTCCCTCACGCACTGCACTCTTCAGGCACCTTCCTGGTTGCGTGTCACAGCCCAAGGCCCACGCAAATGGAGAGGCATATAAAGCCGTAGAGCAGCACAATCCAATTCCTCCCCAGAAAGCCCAGTATCTTTGGGAACAGTCGCGAGCGCTATCGCAGGAAATCCTCGAGCCACAGCCGCTCGAGCCGCCATCGCACAATGCCCTTTCGGCTACTCATATCTTCGCATCAAGATCAAGGCAGCTCCACAGGACCAGAGACCGAGGTCTGTGCGGATTCCGGATGTGGCAACCCCCTGATTGACAGAAAGCTTCTCAAGAGCTTCGAGCACACCATTGAGAAGAAGCCTCCAACGCCAATTGCAGGCATCAGCGGCAGTGTCCGCTGCACAGACTGGGCCACGTTCTCCTTCTATGCAGAAGGAAAGGGCTGACGGCAGCAGCGCCGGCATAGCTAAATTCACCAGTTCCGCTTGGGTGACTACCGTGGAACCAGGAGCCTTGCTAGGCAATGCCTTCCTCAAGCCGTATGTTGGAAACATCCACTACGACAAGGAAGTCGTTCAAATAGGCCTCCTCGACGACTTCGGTATCCCTTTTAACATCTATAAGCCTCATAAAGGGGTAGTCCGACGCGTTCAGGCCGTCAGAAAAACCGTGGTCCCGGCAGGCAAGACAATGCTAGTCCCAGCTAGCTGGAAGGAAGTCCCTAAAGGCCGTTCCTTCGCTTTTCATTCCAATCATCCCTTGGCCGCTCATGCTCTCGTTGACCGAAACACTGTCCCGGCGGTCATGTTCACGAACACTACGAACCAAGATATCATCGTGAACCGCAAACAGCGCCTAGGGCAGATCAGAGAATGCGAGGAATCGGGCTACTTCGCTGCAGCCTCATGGAAATCAGCTCTGACAGCTTTGACAATGGCCACAGCGGCAAGAGCAGCTCAACAGCGGCCTTGGCCCCAGCAACTTCTGCAATGACGATTGAAAGTGCTCCCCAGAGCCATGCATCGTATGATCTTGCTATCAACAGCACCTTCCACCTCTCAGACGATGTTATCGCAATAGCTGACGGGACCTTCACCCGGAGGAAGCCCTGTTCTAGCAGCAACCGCAGAATCAATTTCAAGCTTATCAGAAGCTGTGTACGCGTACACAACAGCAGCCAGCAACGACAGCCAGCCCTGGTCAACAACAAGAAAGGAGCTCAACGTCACAAGCACCCAGCTTAGTGCAGCAGCAACAGCCGATACTCCTGACCTTGCCCCCGAGACCCGAATTCCGTATCAAACGCACGTTCAACGCACGCCAGAGCTCCCAGAGGTGTGCACTGACGACGGAATTCACATCTATGCGCAAAAGGCAGCTTCGTGACCAAGATCAAAGCCCTCGTTGAAAAACACGCCAAACTATGGAAAGACTCGGGCACAGCTCAAGTCGAAGCAGGCCACGAGCTCACAGTTCCCTTATCAAGGATTGGCACACGCACAAGGTGGCTCAACGCCCTATCCTCAGGGATTACGAGACAAACAGGTCATTGATGAAACCCATGACAAGCTCCACGCACAAGGACGCATGGAATACGTGCACGGCCAACCCCTTTGCAGCCCCGTCTTCGTTGTGTGGCGAACAGCCCGAGGAGAAACCAAGGGCAGGGTCGTCATCGATTTGCGAGCTCTTAATAAGGTCACCATGCCAGACAGCTATCCCTTGCCATTGCAAGAAGACATCATCCAAGAGCTTCGAGGCGCACAGTACATCACAGCAATCGACGCATCGTCTTTTACCACCAATTCCGAGTCAAACTCGAACATCGTGATCGTTTTACCCTCACGAGCCATAGAGGACTGGAAAGACTGACTGTTGCACCAATTGGCTTCTGCAATAGCCCGGCCTACGCCCAGCGCTATATGGATCGAGTGCTTCGACCATATAAGGGTTTTGCAGAGCGTTTATTGACGACGTTGTGATCTATTCGAAAACGGAAAAAGAGCACTTACAGCACCTTAGCAAAATCTTCCAGCTATTCGAGCGTTTTAACCTCACGATGTCGCCAAAGAAAAGCTGGATTGGGTATCCCTCTGTGCAGCTCCTTGGCTTCCGCGTTGATGCCTTTGGAATGAGCACAACGGAACACAGGCTGGCAGCCTTTGCAAAGCTGGAATTTCCAGACCAGCTATCTGCGTTGGAAAGCTACATTGGAGCAACAGGCTACCTACGGCATCTCTTACCGTATTATGGAGCCCTCATTGAGCCATTGCAGCACCGGAAAACTCAATTACTAGCCCAAGGACGAGAAATTGGCAAAATTCAGCAAGGTAACATCAACAAACGCCGTGCCTTTGCGAGGAACACCAAATTCGAGCCTAGTGAAAAGGAGCGGTTGGCATTTGAAGCTATCCAAAAGGAAGTAGCCTCCGGCAGGAGTCCACCACATGGACCCAAGCAGGCAACTGTTCTGTCAAGTTGACGGGTCCTTGCAACGAGGATTTGCCTGTACCTACTTCCACCTTAAAGAAGGTTACGAATGGAAGCCTGGCCAAGCTATTTCCTCAACAGCGATGCAACCTATAGCTTTTCTCAGCCGCACCCTCACCAACGCAGAGAGATCATATGGTCCGTCGGAATTAGAAGTGGCCTGCCTAGTCTGGTCTATCAAAAAGATGCGCACAGTGGTCCAATCGTCAACGAAGCCCTTAATCGTACTTACGGACCATTCAGCCACACAGCAGATCGTCAATAAGACCTCCCTCGACACTTCAAGCACGGACAGAGCCAACAGACGGCTAGTAGTAGCCTCCATCTATCTCTCTCAGTACGAATTGCAGGTTGATCATCTTCCAGGGAAAATCAATTTCATCCCTGATGCCTTAAGCAGGCTGTCAGCCCCTGAGACCGACCAATTGATCGAGCGGCAACGGCCTGACTACACAGCGCTTGACGATGTGCTCCTTGCGTCTGAGGCCATCATGGATCCAGCATACCGCATCAAATTCAAAGAAGGCTATCAGGCTGATACCCATTATCGCAAGATCCTTCAAATGATCCAGGACAGTGAGAACACTGTCAAAGCTTCTAGGGCCCCAGAAATCGCGAAAATCAAGCGCAGAGGAATTCCCTTTTTCGTGGACCAGGGTCTGTTATATCACGAAGGAAAAGATGGATATGTTCGTCTCTGCGTGCCCGCAAGCCTCACGCACGAATTGATGCAAATGGCACACGACGACAAGCACCACTTTGGCGTTGTGAGAATGCTCAAGGAGTTGGAAACCTATTCGATCAGGAACGTATCTTGGCAAGCGAAAAGCACATCGCCAAGTGCAAAGCTTGCTGCCTTGGACAGACTGATCGACAACAGCTTGCTGGAAGCTATCTGCCCAATCGACCCCCGATGCTTCCAATGCAGTCAATTGCAATGGACTTCATCACAGACATGCCTGCCGTCTCAGCTATGGGCTCACCCTGGCATATTGAAGGCTTTAATGCCTTTAATCAATTACTTACAGTCACTTGCTTAGCTAGCAAGCGATGCCTACTGATTCCAGGCAATGCAAAGTATAGCGCCAAGGACTGGGCAGCCTCCCTAGCTAGGCAGCTCATGCTATGTGATTGGGGCATGCCGCGCACGATAGTCAGTGACAGAGACCGCAAATTCACCTCTGCTTTCTGGCAAGGGCTCTGGAAGGCCTTTGGCACCAGAATCAGCATGACAACGGCATATCATCCGCAGGCGGACGGCTTGGCCGAGCGGCGCAATCAAACAGTGGAAACAGCGTTGCGACTGGCCTATATTGAGGACCCCAACCTTGACTGGAAGACCCTTATTCCTTCGCTGCAGTGGCATCTAAACACAGCCTACAACACCAGCACGAAGACCTCAGCCCATGAACTAATGTACGGATTCCCCTGAAAGCCCTGGAGGCTGTTGATCGCACAGCCAGCGCAGAGGCAGACGAATTGCCCTACATCAAGGAAGCCTTGCGTAAGCAGGCCAGCCTAGCTATGGACCTTGCAGCGATGAAGGCCAAGCGTTGGTACGATGCCAAACACCGACCTATCCATCTCAAGGCTGGAGACAAGGTATATCTCAAGCTTCATCAGGGATATCACCAGCCAGGCAGGCCGCCCAAGAAGTGGTCACAACAGCGGGAAGGCCCCTTTGTGATCAGAAGGATGGTTGGAGACCTGGCCTGTGAATTGGACCTTCCAGAGCAAATTAAGGTCCACCCAGTGATCTCAATACACCACCTCAAGCCAGCTCACGAAGGCTGCTTTGAAGAAGCTCACCCCGGACCAGTAGAAGTCACAAGGGACTTTACGGACCAGGAAGGCGAATTCTACGAAGTTGACAAGCTTCTTGACGTACGGGTCAGGAAAATTGGAAGAAACAGGAAGCCCGTCACGGAGTACTTGGTCCACTGGAAAGGATGGGGCAGCATGCATGATCAGTGGGTCAGGAAGGAAGAGATATCGTCAAAGGCCCTGGATGAGTTCCACGGGCAGACGACGGGACCGCGAGTGGTTCGCAACAGCAAAGCAAAGGGACGATCGGAAAGTTCTGACATGTAGCCTCTGTTGAGGCAGTCACTGAGGACAGTGGAGTTTTCTTTTGAGGCCGGCATTATGATGCGTTTTGCGTGTCCCTACGCACACTGGGACGTTGGGCACGGCACCAAGCATCAAGGACACCGGCTGCCGCACGCGCAGCCATGTGAACAGGCAGCCGTGTGAACAGGCAGCCGTGTGAAACAGGCAGCCGTGTGAGACAGGCATCCGTATGTGGCTGCCTTGTAAACCGGCCGGATCACCTAGATAGTCCGACCTGGCTGCCTCCTACATAAGGATGAAGCAGTCATAGCTTAGTTGGAGAGACAACCATCCCACTTCATCTCATTCATATGCAAAATGCATCACTAGCGTCAGCCTAGAAGATATACGTAAATCTCGTGAACGCACGCTTCGGCTCGAAGAAGAGAAAAATCAACGCCAACAGCTCCTCTCGATGCGTGGCATTATACGGCGCGAGCGACAGCAGCTCCTTGACGAATACCGTAAAAACAAGGTGCAGCTCGTGAACGGAAAGATGAAGAGACTGACTATCAAACAATGGCTTGACTTCGTCGGGAAGAGCGAGGGATTCCTTGCCCTAGAGAGCAGCGAAGAGGTCTACAACAGACTCCTCAGACCACGAGACCGGTTCACGATCGATACAACACGCACGCAGCGCACAGCTGCCGAGAAAGAAGCCGTTGATAGGGCTTGCGCCTCGGCGCGGCCTCTGCAGTCAATTCAATGGCCTCACCTTCAAAGAGAGCAGTCTATTGAGATCATCATGTCGTCAGAAAAGAAGCCTCAACCTGAGCCCCACGAAACGAGCGAACCGAACGAGCCCGCGCCCGACGAGAACACACAAGAAGCCCCACTCGATTCTACACTATACACTGCCTTCTTTGACGAGGTTGACAGTATATTGGGGTCATCGCCGCCGTCGGGAGCCACGCCGCCATCGTCGCCGCCGGTCACCCCAACACCACTCATTCCGGGGTGGAAGAGGCTTCAAGGATCGTACAATACTTCCGAGCTTCTCAGGCACCGAATTAGGATCAAGAAGGTATATAAATTGGGAAGAGCCGAATATGGGCTACACACTTCAACATTAATAGGTGCACGCCTCAACGCCGCGCAACGCCGCATAACTCGTGTTTTCTGCATCGTCAATAGCCTCAAATAATAAGGGCGATTGGGTCTACAATTTGCATTCCTAGAAAATTTATTTAGACACTCATAGGACGCTGTGGCGGCTGTTTGCCCGGATTTGCCCACCAGGCGCGCGTCCGGGAGTTTTGGGGCTGTCCGGGAATTTTGGGCCCAACTAAGGGGAAGGGGCCCCTTAGTTGGCTGCCAGAGGCCCCGCCAACGGGTATTGGAGTTTTGAGGTATTTTTGCAATCGCTTAGGTACACACCAAATTCACTTCGTTTAGGGGATCCCTTCAAACCATTCATGAATGGCCTGAATTGGCCCAAACCCAACTTGAATCGCGAAAATTGGAGCTTGAAGATTTTGAATCGAGATCCCAAAAATTCAATTCATTTGATTCATCCTTCATTGAAAATCTTCAAAAAATTCACCTTTGTGGACAGGCTCTTCACTGCAGTGAGGTTATTCGAACTGGTTCAATTGGTTATATCTTGTGTAACTAGGGAAACGTGTCCCATACAAACTGTGTGCAAAGACCTTCCTCCTGTGTCTCACCTCTTACTCGCACGTGACTAGCGCGGTCGATTAGTTATACGTGCGCGATCGGTGCCTAGTGCACAGGTGGATCCAACACTGGAACCTCTTTCTAAATCGATGATCGCGCACTAATCAATCCACCAAAAACACACCAAACACAGCGAATTAAGATGAGATAGGAAAAACACGAACAAGAACACCAACAAACTCCTACCACGATGCATCACTATGTTGGATAGTGTGCTCTGACTGTAACTCTCCCTCCCCACACTGGGTGTGTTCTGCCACACGCCATCATGGGCCGCATTTCGAGCGCCGGATGCGCTAGCTGATTCCATCGGTCCCACGTTGGAATATGGACACGAGGATCTCCTCGTTAATGTGAATGGAATAAAAGAACGACGGTAAAGCAGAAGAAGGGAACGAAAAACCGATTAAATCTCGTCGAGAATTGTTGTGTTATTGCGATGAACGAATCCTTCCACCCTCACGTTTAGCTGATTGTCGCTAATAAACTGCGTGAGGGCGCTGTTTGTGATGCCTTCGTCATAGCATCGGCAGGGTTATCTGCGCCGTTGACCCAACGGATTTCCGCAATATCCCTTGATTCATATGCCTGCCTCAGCGCCATGATATCTATCATGAGTCGCTTCTCTGTTGTGGTGCCAAGTTTGACGAGGCACTCATAGAGGCTATATGAATCTGTGCAAATGACGAGCGGATTTGCTTCAGATCAAGGCGTTGTGCGATCGTATTGACCGTTTGCTTGATCACAAATGCGAGATCGAAGCCCGATGTCAATCCATAGATCTCTGATGCAAGAACGCTTCGAGTAACGCGCTTGCATTTAGTTGAGCTCCAATGAAGAATGTTTCCGCGGATGGAAAATGAATCGGTTGATTGCGCGGTCTCATTGGCGATGATAATCACAAAGCCGATTTGAGAGCTTAAATCCTTATTGTTGGCGAATGATCCATCGGTGAACACAAAGATCTTCGCGCTCTCGAGATCGATGGGTATGTAACATAGGCCACGGTCGGGATTGTTGATCTGCCATTCAATCCGCTTGTTCAAAGCCTTGAAGTCGGTATTAACGGGCTCTTGGGCTTGTGCCGCAACGGAACAATCGTATGTTGCTTCGGGTTGGCAAATCGAAGCGATATATGCCCCCCGGGCGCGTTGAGCAGCATAATCCTGATGCCTACTTGATGCCTGAAGATTGATCTCCTCGAGGTTTTGGGCTTGGCCCTTCTGCCTGACGATGACACAGCCATTTTGTATGGTCAGGCGGCTGCCGTTAAAGTCGCAGATGGAACCTTCTTGGAGAATCTCTTTTGGCTTGGCCTTAAAGCAGAGTTCTTTCTCCTCGATCTTGAGAAATGCATCTGTGCCAACAATGAATGTGTCATCCGTTTGCAAGGCCGCGATGCCAAACAGGTCCTTGTCGGCGATGTTGTTTGCCGTGATCAGAAGGCACGGGTCAAACGAAGAGGTTTCCATATTAAGCTTGCGGCAGTGATGGTCGTGATATGTGTTGAACCAGTGGGCTCCTGCCTCTGCGATGCCATATAGCGGCTTCACGATTCGCAGGATTGTTCCTCTGGATATCTTCTTTTGAGTTCTTGAGGAAGGGCTGCAAGGATGACACGGGCCAGCTTGGTCTGGGATTGTGTGTATGCCATCGTGATGTCTCTGATCATGATGAACATATCCCGTGTGCAGAGAAACGGTGCTAAGGCCAAGGCCACGCGTTGTGCGGGCCGGCTGATGGTAGGGGCTTGTGTGAGGATCCCACGTTTCCCATCATCATTGTATCCTTGCACAACGAGGCGTGATTTCTCGTATGGCGTTGCAGTATTTCTTCCTTAACCTCTCTGACCATTCGTGATTTGAAGACACGATATCCACCATGTTTATTCGCATCGAATTCTTCGGGTACAATGACCCCAGCGGCGAGGAGGTTCGTGAGCTCGAGTGTGTCGGAAGCTTCAAATGGGAAACCGGTGCTTGTGATCTTTCCTTCAGCTCGTAGCCGCTTGGCTAGGCCGAGATGTTCCATTTCTTTTCGAACAAGAAACGCATTAGCTTCATGATGAACGATAAATTGAACGGGTGAGCAAACAATAGTGGATTCTGATGTGCCATTTTGTGCAGCATCCTTCCTAGGTCGGCCACGCCTGCGCGGCCTCTTTGGCTCAGGGTATTCGAAAGGTTTGGGTTGGTCTTCTGTGGTAGGAAGAGGAAGAGGTTGTTGAGTTGTGGGTGGAAGGGAAGAGGGTTTTGAAGAGGATGTTGTTGATCGGATTGTGTTGAGGAAGGAGTGATTGTTGTGTTGATGGGTCTGTGCGGCTAGGGCTAGGGTCGGGTTGCAACTGAGGAAGGAGCGATTCCGGGTGACGATAGTACGGTTGGACGCATGTACTGCGAAATTTCGCTGGTCCGTTGTCCAGGTCAACTGCGATTTCCGTATCCGTCACCTCGAGCACTTTATATGGGCCTTGCCATCCGTGCTTCTCGCGAAATACGCGAACTTCGCTTCCTAGCGCCAGGGATAGGGGCAGGCGCAACGCTGTATCAGGCCCATTACGCGTATTTAACGCGGTCTGAACCTTCCTCTGGGCGTTGATCTTCCTCAGCTCTGACATCGTTCGCCACACCGCCTTAGCTCTTGCCATTGCGGAAGGTGTAGGCGGCGAATCCATCGTCATTCGAGGCAGAGCACCGAAGACGAGGAGGGTTGGAACGAGGCCATCCGGACCGGCTGTGTCGTTGACAGCCTTGAAAGCCATTTGAAGGACTTGATCAGGGCTCACGGTATCCTTCAGCTCTGCCTTTAATATATCATATGCTCTTCGGACGGGCACATGATACTTCTCAACCTTCCCAACAGCCCAATGTGCTTCCACAGGCACCTGATGACACGTTATTCCCATCAATTTCGCTTCTGCTTGGAACTCGGCAGCAGCGAAATTCGTGCCTGCGTCATGAGTGATCACATCGGGTGGTCCAAGGTATGTATCCATCCAACATTGTTTCAACGCGAGCCACGTTTCCTTGGCCGTCATGTTGGATAGGAATCTCCTGCCTGATAGGCAGTGGCTTGATCAACAACATGGAGGACTGGTCTGCCACCCAATGTCATGACATCAACGATGACTTCGTAATTGAAGTCACAATCATCCTTCAAGCTGAACTTGAACCTTCGTGGCGGGTCGGATTTCATCTGACAGTAGTGGCAGAACTTCTTGATCATTTCCAGAGCTTCGATTTCCACATCATGGCCAGCCGAATTCAGCAGCTTGTGCAGCCGATACACGGATGGATGACCAAAACGCGTGTGGAGGCGCCGCAATTCAGCCTCCGTGAGATATGCCACTGATGCCTCTTGTTTCCGCAAGAAGAACCACGCGTGACCCCATCTTCGAATCACTGGAACGCTCACACCATTGCCAACGAGCTCGTTCGTGACGTTATTTAAATATACGCCGAGCCGATCCATATCAGCTAGGCATAGGAGGAATGGCGTTGGCACGTTGACTATATGAAAATCAACCTCTCACTGGTGTGTTCAAGGTGATCACGCCAAGTGGTGTTTCAATCTTCCTGCACCAAATCTAACTGGTTCGGGCTTGCGATCATCACGGAATTGGACTGGGGCATCTCTCGTTGGAGAGCACGCAGTTGTTCGATTCCTCCGTCGATATGCATGCCGCACCTGTGTCCGGCATGATTCCTTGGATCGAGTCTTGAGAGTAACGATCTAGTATGAATTGTGTGGGTTCGTCACTGTTGAATAACTTGATGCCTACTGGAGATCCGATGATGGAAAGCTTCGTTGGACAGAAAGTCGCAGCAGCGTAGAACGATTCATAAGGGTCAGAGGAGTCAGAATCATCGGATTCCTCGGTGCTCGAGTCATCCTGATCCTGTGATTCCCCTTCATAGTCAGCCAAGAACATAGCATACGAACGAGATTGACCGTGGAAGCCTCTCTCGTAGATACTTCTCTTTGGCTGCTTTTCTCTCGTTTTCAGGATGTCTCGTTGAGAAACAACCTTCCTTGCCGCAAACGTAGCATTTCTTCTTCCAATTTGGCTGACGCCTTTGTGATTGACCTCTTGTTCCGCCGGAATTTCGCTGAAATTTGCGATCCACGAAGTGCTGATCATGTCCTCTATCCAGGTCTTGGGGATATTGGCCACTGGGTTGTTCAGATCGTTCATCTTGCATGGCAGATAGCGATGATCGAAGCTGTGATGCCAATCCCTCAAATGTAGGTGCGGGAGAGTATATCGCGAGTCGGAATTCAGGCACACCACGGCACGCCCTGAGCGTTGCATCGATCAGGCCACCTTCGCCGCCAGACTTATCCCCGAGTGCTCTCCTACAGAGCCGCAATTTCGTAAGAAGGGCCTGGAGGACCTCGTCAGATGACTTACCGGGCATCTCAGCCCGAAGTC